CTTGAGCAGGGACATTGACTCAGGACTGTATTTGGTGCTTATATCTGTGGAGAAGTCGAACAAGGTCAACATCTGAGCGAGGTCCACTTCCATAAGCGCTGGCTGGAGGACTGGACATCTATAATATAAGTCCCTACAATACCAGCTGCATTTCAGATGATCGTCCTAGTTCTAGTAACTTCTGACCTCCCAACCCAGCTGATTGCAACAATCCGATCTGAGTTCCTGATGCATATCTGCATTTATTACTTCTATATCCAGATTGTACCTAGTAGCATTTTGATTCAAGAGATACCATAGCTGCTTCAGGAGGAGTATAAGGGGGGCCAGGGACCAGGATTCAAACTTCAGGGCCTCCCACGGCGCCCGCAATATATAGCACGTGCTAGTTGTACCGGGCGCTATTAAAGGCCCGGTCCTACCATTTGCGCCCCAGGGAAGCTGGCCTGCGCCCCAGGGCGATGGCCCGGGGCGCAGAGGCGCCCCGGGGCAAAATCCTGTCCGCACCCCTGCTATGCACACCAGCCAACCGGGATGCCGGGTTCCGAAAGTTTGCAAGTACATGGCTTTTGTACCGAGACTGTACAAAATACTTGTAAAAAGCTAAAAGTATCGACTTCGACTCGTACCGGATGTGCATTTATGACGTTCGATCGAGATCCGACCAAAGGGCCGGGTCCCGGAATTTTGGAAAATTTGGAGACCCGGGTTCCCGATACGTCAGCGAGACCCCGACTACCTAGTGTGCACAGCCCGAAAGGGATGCCGGATGTCGATTTCGAGACCCGGGTCCCCATTTTACCAGAGAAACCCCGACACCCCCCTCTAAGTGCGCATAGTCCCCTAGTACTTACTAAGGATGTCTTCCCCCCGGCCGGCCGTAGTCACATTGCTCTACAAACCGTAGATTCCGCTCGATTATCAGATCGTGCTCACTGCTCCGGATTCCGGAACGTGCAGCGCGTAGCGGAGCTTGGGAGATATTTGCAGCGGAAGGAAATATCTTCCCAAAAGCAGGGAAGCGATGAAAGGGGAAAGGGTAACAGGGCCTTAATGTAGTTTTAGAGAAGTCTAGACAATTACATGCGCCGATAAGGACTGCTTCAAAAGTTCATCGGATCTTGAACTTTACAACAAGGGCATGACACCTGTACATGTTCGAACGCATGACACCTGTAAATTTCGAGCGCGAAAAGAGTAGCATGATTGGCTGGCTTGAAAGATTTTGCCAAGTCGAGCCAATCACGAGGATGCTTGAGAGGGAATATGGACCGTGGGAACTTTCGAAAACGGTCATTTTGAGCAACAGTATCACGTGATGCCCAATCATCATGCATTAAATCGGTTTGTGGGCATCTTCGATACGAACCGAATCTCCGCCCGCGATGTTCTGAAAATCTGCGGGCGCCCCTTCTTCTTCCGAGCAAAATATCTGCATCGTCGAAAACGGCGGTTTGTTCCACGTTGAGCCGATTCCGACTTTCAACCGCCATTGTGGCGATGGGCACATCCTTACGGACAGGCGTGCGCACTTCGTTTTGTGTACCAGCTCTGTACCAATTCAACCTGTGGTAGGAAGCCGCTCGCACGTGGACGAAATATCTCAGATGGACGGAGCGGGAGCCCGTACGCGGTTGGTACAGGCTCCCTTGATGCCAGCAGATGATGCCACGACTTGAGCAGCGTACCGCGTGTGCTCGCAATCAACTCAGTCCGTACCTCTAGAGTTGAATTGGTACAGGCTGATCAAGATTCTTCCAACCAGGAAGGAAGCTTGGAAATCTGAAACGAGGTGGAAGGGAGGAGATTCTTGAGAGGGAGAAAGCTAGGGGAAGCAAACAAATGGTAACCATTAGCGACGTGCTGAGCTATTCAACGCGGAGGGAAGAAGCGCGGAAGGGTGTTGCCAGCTTGTGAAGAACTTCTTGTGGAAAAAATTGACGAAGCCATGGCAACCTGCAGGTGCTCGACATCTGCAGGTGCAATGGCGAGCCTTTCGGGGTTTTCGAACCGGACCGCCGACGGGGCTTCCACCTCGTATCGGTCCTCTCCAACCACACAGCGGTTGCTTAGGAGATCTCGGACTTGGGATCAGGACTTTTTCGGGTCCTTTTGTAGAGACGGTGATGGGATCCGGTCGCCTGGTAACAGGCTAGACAGAACGGCGAGCTTGGGCTGTGTGCGCTCGTCTCTGGCGCAGGATGCTAGGATGGAGTCACGTAGGTGGAGTGGGCCGACTTTGCCGACGACGGCTCCAGTCCCAGACCTGAGAATCGACCACCTGCGCAGGCTGGCTGTGCGGGACACAGTGGAGCAAGAGGATGAGCCGCGCAGGATCAGCCAGGTTCGGCATGCGGAGGAGCTGATTGGCGGGGCGGCGTTTGTGGATGAGTTTTTCGATAGGAAGCCAGTTGGGGTTGCGCGGGGTTTGGAGTTTAGCTCAGCTCTTACGCAGCAGATTCCCGAGTATGGGGCGCCGCCACCAGAGGAGTTTGGAGAGTTTGCTGGCCAGAATGATGTGCCAGAGTCAACGAGTGGGCTGGACTTTGACATTGGTTGGTCGAAGGAAGAGAGACGCGGTGGACATCCGGGGTTTCTGCTGCATGCAGATGACGACGACCAAGTTGTTTGGGCCAGGAAGATGCTCAGAAGGTGAGTTGAGTAAGCAGGAGTTCAGCAGTTGCTAGTGACATTGTTGTGGAGGTTTAAGCACAGGTCTGGATAAAAAATGTATTTTGTTCTTTTTAGCAACCACTTGTATTGGCTGGGTTCTCATACAACTCGTGCGGAGGATGTCGATTAAGCTGCTCATTCGCCTCAGCTTAATCTTTTGGACCATCTCTTCTTAAGCACTGTCGTAGTGCTGTGAGATTCTGAATGCAACAAATATATTCTGCAGGCAACTGATCTTCAAGCAGGCCTCCCTCAAGTCCCTGCACGACATTGCCTCAAGAATGGTTCGGCGGCCGTTTGTGGGACTCAATGGTGTTCCCATCAATGACAAGAACCTTGAGCGGGGGTTGTATTTGATCACAGAGGGCACGGCGTCCATTAACATGGATGATAACAGCGAGGCCCCCTTTGGCAGCCAAACGTTCAACCCCGAGAAGGAGAAGCTCTTGTTCAAAGGTGCTGCGTTCGGCAGTGTCCTGGATGAGGGGGTTGGTTTGAAGGAGTGGCCGGGGACTTGCCAGTCAGGGCCTGTGGGGTTGGGATGCGATTGGTTGAGGTTGGGGAAGCACACTGCAGAGGACAACTCAAAGGTCAAGCTCTACGCAGGGCCTGGGGGAATGGAGTGCCTGTTCATCTCAGAGCTGGAGCTGAAGACGATTCTGAGGCGGGATTGGTTCACTCAGGTTCCAGAGGGAGCCCCCCTGCAGAATATGGTGCCAGATGTGCAGCAGTCGAAGCTGAGCAACTACCGGTACATTGACATGCTGGGGGCTGGAGGTGAGGCCTGCTTTATCGGTCTTGGCTTCCTGTTCCTGCAATGTTTCTGGCTGACTGCCTCGATTGTAATGTTTAGATTCTTTGCAGTCGGATGTACCACAGTAGAACTAATATGCCAGTTTGTTGGCAGTCGTTGCATTCTCATGCGTCCACTTTGAAATGATGTGACTGAGTTCAGCATTAAGGGATTGATCGAGCAGTAAGGGGGATTGAGGTCAGCAGAAGGGGGATTTAAATCCCTGTTGGCAACAGGGCAAGTAAGAATGAATCTTAAGCATTGGATTCACGGAGTCCAAAGGTCCCTGTGCAATGGCTCCCATTGCTTGACCAACCTTTGCCCAGCAGGTTCCTGTTGCAACCATATCTGATATGGTCTCCCTCCATTCACAGGGTTTGGCCACGTTGGTCTGGTTGAGCACAAGAGCACTGGCGGGGTCTTTGCTCTGAAGTGGGTTCCCCGGGAGCCGTGCAAGGATGCCTGCCTCAAGAGCGAGATTCAGCTGCTGAGCGGCCTGAGCAGCCCCTTTGTGGGGAAGTACGTGAAGCATTTCCTGTGGCAAGGGTCCACCTACCTGCTCCAGGTAAGGATTCCAATGTTACGAAGTATTATGTGAACATTCTGTTTGACTGCTGCTAACTGGGTGGCAACGCCTGTTTACTGTTGGTTCTTTTATTGACGAGAGATCTGGTGAGAGTGAGGTTGTTAGTGCCTGCCGTCTGGAGGACCAGGCTCTCACAAGAATCGCAACAGCCAGTCCAGCTGCTTTCACACCTCTTAATAGCAAGTTGTTTGTCAGTTTGCATCTTTCTTGACTGATTCTGCGTGCATTGCTGGGTGTACTTCCAGTTCTTGATTGTTTGCCTTGCAGTCTCTTACAGTTTCTATGTTCTGGAACTTGTATCTGGAAGTTTAGTTTGCCTGGGTGCATAATGCAGACCTTGATATTCTCCTGTCCTCATCTCTTTCTCCCCCTCCCGCAGTCATCTAACTTGCCTGTCCCCTGCTTTCTTTTTCAGGAGGTCATGCTCGGCGGCGACTTCCAGCAGCTCGTCAAGGAGCACAACGACACCCTCTCCGAGCAGCAGGCCAAGTTCTACGTTGCGTGCATGGTCGAGGCGCTAGGGTACCTGCAGTCCCAGGGCATCGCACACCGCGACATCAAGCTCGCCAACTTCCTGGTCGACGACGAAGGTTACCTCAAGCTCGTCGACTTTGGCTACGCCGCCAAGCTCCCCAAGGGCAAAAGCACGCGTGCGCGTGTTGGCACGCCGTCGTATGTCGCCCCAGAAATCGTGCGCGGGTTTGCGCACGACGGGTCAGTGGATCTGTGGTCGCTCGGCGTGGCGTTGCACCGCATGCTGACCGGGGTATGTCCGTTCGGGGACGCGCCCAAGACCCCCCCCGCCAAGGTGCTGCAGCGCATCAAGGACAAGAAGCCGCCCCAGTTTCCGGAGAGCCTGAGCGCAGACGCAAAGAACCTGATAACCCGGTTGTTGCAGCACGAGTCGGGGGACAGGCTTGGCTGGGGAGACTTGGGGATCGAGGAGATCCGGGCTCACCCTTGGTTTGCCGGGTTCGAGTGGGAGAAGCTCCGGAGGCGGGAGCTAGAGGCACCGTTCCTGCCCAAAATTGCGCACCCGTGGGACACGACCCGGTTCCACTACCGGGGAACTAACATGAACAAGATGATCCTGCCCGAGGAGAAGGAGCAGTGCAAGCCGACAGGGTGCGGGTTCGAGGAGCACGCGTTTCTTAACAATCTGGCCTACTCGGCTGTGTAGGCGCAGCATGGGTTGTTACTTTATTTGCTGGGTTGCAGATGGCCAGCTAGCTGCTGGCAGCGTTTGTGTCCATTTGTACAGGCGTTGGACCAGCTTGGTCCTGGGTCTTGCAGTACTAATAGACGGCAGCTTGCCTTCGACGATCAGATCAAAGGCCAGGCTGCCCTCCATGTTAAAATGCAATAAAGCACAAAAACTGTAGCTGTCAAAAAGTTCAGGATAGTTAGCTCGCTTGCGTGGCCCTCAAGCACGTGCTGAGCAGTCAGTTCAATAAAAGCTTGAGCCGGGCACTGTGAAGTACACACCAGATTGATCCTCAAGATGACTGGGGTCTGACAAACAATGAAACTTTGGTTGGACCAGACATATTTGTGTGTTGATTGGACGTATTTGTGTGTTGAACCATTGAATTCTTCTTGTTATCTCATCCATGGTGCATGTGCTGTGGTCTCAGAACTTGAGTACTTTCTTTTGGCAACCCGCTATATGCGTGTGCATGTGTGGAGTCAGATAGCAACCCGAAGAGTGAATTCGACATTGCAGATATTCCTGCACGCGCATTGAGCATTGACAGTAAGTGGCGATGCTACTTTTTCCCAAATGCATGCGCACTGTTGGATGCATGTGATATCTCAGATCGATAACAAATTGTTCGTGCAGGCACATCATTATGTTTTATAATAATAAGTTCAAGTTCCCATGGTGCATGTGATCTTTGAGCAATTGGATATGACGCACTGCAGCATATGCATGCATGGCCGGCGGCTGCCGCGCCAGGCAGCTCAGTTTCATATCATGTACCTCGCTTGGCAGACACTGATTCGATATACATTGTGTGTAAGTTTAGATACGTACGGTCGCACTGCGCGGCCCATGATCACCTTAATTAATACCGTCGGTTGATTGCGCACACAGTGTGCATGGCAGTGGTGCAACTTCGAGGTCTACCATGTGCACTCTGAAATATTGCAGCCTGCAAGCATTGCTGGGATCCAATTTGATTTTCTACTGCATGGCAAACTAACAAGGGTCATGGAGGCTTGCAGCCTCGAGGTGATTGCATGAGTTGAGTCCTTCGTGTGCAGGACTGAGGCGCTCAACGTTTCGTAAGGACTCAATTTCATTAAACGGAGTCCATATTCTGCCTTCATTCTTGGAGCTACATGCCGTGTCCCATTCCCTCTCTTTTCCGAGGTGCGCACTTGATGATCTCGTCTACCCTCATGATCATTTCCGCCGCTTCTGTGGCCGACATCAAGACGGCCTGTTTGACCTTGAAAGACTCGTAGATGCCTAGCTCTTCCATGTTCCCGATCTGCACAAGATCCGGAAAATGAGTTTGCAATATGCAGAACAAGCAGAGACGAATCCAACGATGTCAAAATTGGTTGCAAGTGCTCAAACAGAAGCTGAACCAGAGAAGCGGTTCGGAACTTCAGATGCCAGCCCACACTGCAAGATGTAGCTATTAAAAAGAAGCATATCTTTTCAATCTCCAGTGATAAACCGCACGAACGGTCCAAACACCATCCGATCAGACCACCCAAGCGTGGCATCCCCTTCAAGACCTGGTAAAGAGCAGAGCTTTCGCCGATTAAGAGCAGTGCCTTTCGCCGAAAGGAATCCTACGGTCCCCTCGACTGCAGATAAACCGCTCGTTCTCACTCCCCCTCAGTTAGACATCCATGAAAGTGTCCTTGCAATCGATGGCTTCACATCCGTACATATCAATTTCGAGAAGATTGGCTTACCGTCCCCCTGATTACGTCTACCCCCGCCTTGCTCCGCTCCTTTGCATGCTCCGCCCGGAGCTGCGTCACGATCTCGGCGGCGTCGAGCCCCGCATTTTCCGCGATTGTGCTCGGAATACCGCGCAGCGCCGTCGCAAAGGCCTCAATCGCCATAGCGCGCTTTCCGGGCGTGCTGCGGAGGAGAAAAATCAGAAACTTGGGAGCGGAATCGGGAGATATCATTGCGCAGGTACCAAAGGCGTCCAAACGCAAGCCCCAATATGTGCACCAGATTTCGCTCCTTCGCGAATGCAGTTTTGCAAAGTAGCTCCGCCCCCTCGAGCATATTGATGCAGAGGAACCAAAGCAACAATTCTGCACCACAACAATCTTGGTCCAAACCTGGCAACTGCGAAAAAGTGCTTGACGCATCTGCAAAACAGGACCCAAGCCCTCTCCTCCTCAAGAGCTACAAAAACTAGAGCGACACTGGTCGAGAATGAAGAAGATAGTGCACTGTCGTGTCAACGTGTAAGAGCTCCGCGTATGGATAAGAAGACCTGAAACACGGGCAAACGAAGGTCGCGGCTCAATATCGTAAAGAGAGCAATTCGGCACTATTAAAGCAAGTGACGTCAGCATAGGTGTCCAGGTGACGTCAGCATCGGTGTCTCACCGCCGGGCGAGATCCTCGATCGCGTTCGACATCATGACCTCAGGGAAGCCGCCCCCGTAAATGACGCGGCTGTCCTTCACGGTCTGGCTCAGCACGCACAGCGCATCGTGCAGCGACCGCTCCGCTTCCTCAAGAACGTGCGTGCTGCAAATAGAATTGGCAGCAGATTCATTTATTGCATGTGTCCTTATCAGAAGCTTAAGGCTTTTACTTCGATCGCTCTGCTTTCTCGAGAACGTGCGTGCTGCAAGTCACACGAAGCACTTTGTCAGCTCGCATGCTATCACCGAAGCTCTTGAATACATCTCAGTTGGATTTGCAGCAATTGCTAGCTTCCTTTGAAACGTGCGTGCTGCGCAGTTGACACGGCGACAATCCTGATCAATATACTGATTTCCGCCCAGAGCTGGGTAACACGCATAAGGTCTTGCGGAAAAGGTGAGATGCTTCGCAGGACCGCTGTCTCGTCTGGACAATCTGCGAGGAGGAGTCCGCAGTGTGGCTCCTATCATTATGATCCCTTCAGCGGTTGTGTCAATGGTATTTGTTCTCGATGAAGGATGTGCAGACAGCCTTTCCCCGTCAGGAGTAAAGATGGTGCGGATTACTCATGGCTTGAATGACTTTTAAGCGGGGGCGATGGAAAGATTCTCCACCGAGTCAAGGGTATGGAACTCAAGCGGAGTCCAGCGAAGCGATGGGCTTCACCAACAGTGCGAGGTATCCGAGTAGAGTCACCCCAATTCAGAACGGCAAACCGGTCAGCCTGTTTGACGCGTACGGGCAACACAAGAAGACGGAAAAGAAGCAACCAAAGCGTGCAGACAAGGAAGAGTCATTCCATGTACGATGTAAGAAGTGTGAAACGCTAAGCCCTAGACCCTAACCCCAAATTCTTACCTGGCCCCCCGGAGAACGATGGTGCAGGCCTCGGGTTTGTCCACGCCGATGAAGTGGATCAGCTTGTCTTCGCCTATCATAATCTCCTCAATCAGCTGCAACGAAAAGTGGTTATCAGCAAAGAGGAAAATCCAGAAAGACGAGGAGAAGGCGTGCTTAAAGGACGATATCCTCTTTAGTGGATCTCTTGGCATACGGCCCGTTAGAAGCGGGCACCTAAAAGATCCAACTTTCCAGTCCGTGGATGTGTAGGTGCAGAGCTTTGGACCTCGGAGAATAGGGTGTGTGGTCTCGTGTCGCTAGACTGCCTTTTACTTAGGATGACCAACATCAGGTTTCCGCATGTTTACACTAACCACTGGAGCCCAGCTTGTCGATCAAAGGTCACGAAGCTCCAACCCACCATCAATCACCTTCAACAATAATTTCTGCTGAAGAGTGTGCGAACAGCGATAAGCAGTCTCGACAGCGCCCATCTTGTAAGGCCCCACCTTCACAGTCGCCGGGTCGTTGAACGTCGAACTGAGTCTCCCCTTGACGACTCAAAGACTCAACCGCCTTTGGGGCAAACAGATCGGGGAACAGTGATCTCAGCGCTTCTTACCTTGCACTACCCCAGCTTAAGGTGGTCAAACCGTCATACACCTGAGCCACATTCCCCACACTCACTCAAAATAGTGTTGTCTGCCAGGAGACAGGAAAAAAGAAGTAGAAAGAAAGAACAGTGTCCGCAGGACCCACCTTGCAGTGCCCCAGCTTGATTAGCGCAAGGTCGTAGAACGCCAGACAAAACTCCCCTCAATAATGGACCTTAATTCAGTTGCCACGGATTTAGTAGCTCGCAAAGTTCCTTCGAGAAGGTCCAATCGATATATACCAAATCCTGGCTGAACCCACCTTGCAGTGCCCCAGCTTGACGGTCGTCGGGTCGTCGAACGTCGACACGATCTCGCCCCCCGTGACCAGCGCGAGCCGCTCAATGCCGTCGAAGTCGGCGTGCTCGATGGCCATGACGCCCGCGTCCGCAAAGATCTCCTCCGGGAAGTTGTAGATGAGCTGCCGGTTCACGAAGCAGTTGATGCCGTGCTGGATGATCTTGTCGCACTTCTGCCGCATCTTGTCCTTCTCCGCAGCTTCAATGTCGGCCACCTGCGGTTACAATATAAGGTTAGGACTGCGGGGGGTTACGGGGCATGCTTTCGACGATAACGACTTTCCGAAAGTTAAAAGTCCTCGTCGAATCTTGTCGCACTTCTGCCGCATCTTGTCCTCCTCCGCAGCTTCAATGTCGGCCACCTGAGGTTACAATATAAGGTTAGGACTGCGTGTGGTTACGGGGCATGCTTTCGACGATAACGACTTTCCGAAAGTTAAAAGTCCTTGTCGAATCTTGTCGCACTTCTGCCGCATCTTGTCCTTCTCCGCCGCCTCGATGTCGGCCACCTGCGGTTACGATATAAGCTTAGGACTGCGTGGAGTTACGGGGCATGCTTTCGACGATAACGACTTTCCGAGAGTTAAAAGTCCTTGTCGAATCTTGTCGCACACTTCTGCCGCATCTTGTCCTTCTCCGCCGCCTCGATGTCCGCCACCTGCATACCCAACAACATGGTACTACTTGAGGTCAAGCGATTCACGTGCGCGAGATCTACGCGCTCTATGTTCAAGACCTGTGAGGGAGTTTGCTCTTTCAGACGTCGATTGTCTCATGAGGAAGCTTCCGCATCTTCTCCTTCTCGGCAGCCTCGATAAGTGCTGCACAAGCCTTGCGTTACTTTCTTGTAACCTTTGATTTTCGAATATCTATCCGGCGTGCGCCACAGTTTGCGAAACCATCCTCTTTTAAAAGATGTGATCTCGTCCTGCCGATCTACCCCCGCATCCAGTCCGCATTCTGCCAGTCCTCCTTCCTCGCTTGATGCTTTCAAACTGCAAAACTTTTTAGCCTCTAATCAGAGAATTGTCGTCAACCGTGTTTTCCTATAATCGTCTTTCCGACATGAGCAGACAATGGGATAAGTTTCAGATCAAAAAGCTGAACTTCTGAAGGCACTTCATGCGAGAAAGACGAACCGATGGAAGGGTGCAGAATCTCGCGCCATCAAGCGACAGGGATCAACAACCCTCGATGCATAACTCCTACAAAGCAACCACTCTTCTTATCCTGAGCAATTGTAAGTTGCGCCGCTCTGACCTTAGACATGGAGTCGACGCGCACACGTGCCCCGTAGATCTTGATCTTGTCGGTGTCCATTGGCGTGTTGGCTACCAGGATCTTGGCGTTCTCGATGCGCTTCGGTTGTCCCACCCCAATCCTCTTGTCCAGAATGAATCTGTCCGGGAAACAAGACAGGCCGGATTAAGCATCTCGAAGGGAGATGGCTGGATAGGTCAGCGGCGTGAAAGAACTAGGAGTGCGTAATCCGTGACCACTGGCTGTGCGGAGTCGACACTTTGAGGCTGCCACGTAATCTTACTGTATGCTTGCAGGATCCTTTCATTCAGTTCTCGGTTCCGAAGTACGCATCCCCAATATTGACCAATATCTTATAATTTGAAGATGTCACTACAAACTCTGGCAATATCCTGGACACTGATTCGACGGCCCAACTTAGCAGCCGAGCCGCCACTCCAACTTGAAACCGTCGCGTCTTTTCGGCGTCGACTCACCTGCAGTTTACCAGCCCTAAGGACGCAACAGACAGCTGTTACGTGTGAAACTTGCATAGATGTGTGGCACTAGCCGTTATTTTGGATGCTTACCCTTCGTCAAGGAACGAATCTTGGAGTGAACCCCCGGGCTTCTGGATGATCTGGATAGCCTCCAGATTCCCGCTCCCCTGCAATGTAAAGGAAGCAGCCTGAGCGTGGCTGAAAGCATCGATGACAGACTTTCAGGAAAGGATACCATCTCTCAAGTCACGGATGCATTAATATTGCAAGGCCATGGGCGGGCTTTGACCTGCATTTTTGAAAGCGAAAGGGGACACAGCTCCGAACACGACCTCGCGACACTAGACAGGTACTTGAGCACTGAGAGTTGAAACAGACTCTATTGCCAACTGCAGTACGTTGCTTGTTGCTTTGTCCCTGACGCTCGGGCTTGTGTGAACTTCACAAATGTACGTCTCCAGGCGCAGCCCAAACCGGTTTGTCAAGGATTTATCGGATCCCCTTAGCTCCCCCACGTCTTTGCACCTTTTCTATCAGAATATCGACAAACTCATCGGCCCAGACTTCCTTGACACACACCGCACCGGTTCATTTCATGCTGTGAATCTAGAAAGACTTGGTAAACTCGAAGGGGATACTGATATTGGCTATTTCAAGACGTCGAACAGATATGTAAAGCATCTTACGAAACCGTATACTTTCGTTCGTGAATCATTCAAGGGGTATGAGCACAATCGGGATGGAGCGTCGTGTGACGCACCTGTAGCCGCAGCACCGCGTCCACTGCCAGCTCCGCAAAGTGCTCCTTGTCTTGGCTCAGGATCTTGGAGCTCAAGGTCGTCATGGCGATGTTTAGAAGATCCCGGCGGAACTTGTCTGCAAACAATGAAGCCGCTCCGCATCAGCAAGCTGAGCAATCGCGGAAGGGACTTGGCCAAGCTCTGAGCGAAGTTAGTAAAGCCCTTTCTGGTGAAAGTCTAAGCCGGTCTTTGCTGCAGATGGCTTGCTGATAGTTCGAGCACAGGGATTGCCACATAGACAGACCGCTATTCGTGGAGTGAATTATCTGATGAGGGCAATAAGTGCAAAGCACAGAGCGAAACACTCCTTGTTCCTGGCAAGACCAACGCGAGGAAAAGGTCTGCGTAAACTGCTAAGGAGTTTTGCAAGTCCGCACCTTTGTCTTTGGAGTTATTGAAAGAAGCCTTCTCTAGGATTCCTCTCCCGGTCTCAGCAGCCGCTCGGAAGCCTGCAATCGAGCAAAATCGTATTAGCAGAGTCGCTCGAAAACTGATACAACGGTGCACTCAAACGAGGCTTGGTACATTCGAAACCTCCTGCAAATCAAGAACGTCTCTTCAAGGAGGTAGACCCGTTCAAAGTGCATCTCTCATGCAGAACAGACGGGCAAATGGGAGCTTTTCCTTACTAGCAGCTGACATGGGGGGGCGATGCTTGGCGGAAACAGACAGCCGCCTCCTGTTTCTATTCTTGCCAGGGAGAAACTCAGATGTCACCAACTCGTGCGGCTTGATAAGCATCCCTTAAGTGACGCATTCGAGCTCCTCAAAATTCTCGCTTTGGTTCTGCATCAGCTTACCTGAGATGATGGTCATTGGATGTATCTTCTGGCTGATGAGCTTCTCTGCCTCCCGTAGGAGCTCCCCGGCAAGGACGACCACCGACGTCGTCCCGTCCCCTACCTCATCATCTTGTACCTTCGAAATGTCTGCAGAAGAGCAAAGTGTAACAAACGTCACTGACTTGGTGAGAGAAGACATGGGACGACCAGTCACTGCCATTTAACTGTTCCTGGCCTGGAACAATCAAGGGTTGTGTTCAGTGAGCTCAAGAGCAGTTTGAGTGCAGTCGGTCCCTTTGCAATTTTCCTGAGCTGCTTTTCACTAGCGTTCTGTTTAAAGGATGCTATCAGAGGCTGTTGTGAAAAACAAGATCAAAGCTGACTCTGACTATCCACTGCACTCAGCATACCACTCAACATGCTCCCCCAGAACACGGCTTGAAGTGGATATTAGTGACGCTTACAGCAACGCGCCCCTCAACCACTACGTGGTGCACGAAAGCACTCAGTAAGTACGCCGTGAGTACAAAAACCCCACAACCGAGTAAAATTCCAGTTTAAGGGTACCAGAATGCACCAACAAGGTAGCAGTTGATGGTCATAGACACTTATGCAGCAGAAGCACGCAGACGGTTGATGTGGCACACAATCACTGCCTGTTTGTGTAATCTCAAAAGTTGACCGCGCTTGAAGGTGCAGCAGCTATGGTGCCCTTCTGAGAAGCAGACACGCCTCCCTCGCCACTCAAGCGTGAGCATCAGCCACAAGCAAGCATGGCTGTTAGATTTGAGAGGGGCAGCAACTTTCCCAGCACTATAATTCACAGCTGAACCCTCACCTACTAACACTTTTGCAGCTGGATTGTCCACATACAGCGACTTCAAAATGGTTGCCCCGTCATTTGTGACCATGATGTTCTGGCCCCTCCCTGTTGACTGCAGAATCTTGTCCTGCAATCCGGTCGGGCGTTGCAATCGGTTAGTCTGAGGAGAACCACTCAAAATGCACTGTTTTGGCCTTATGGCAGTCCTGCCGCCCAGATGGTCGCCACCAGAAACCCCAGATTGCAACAAGTTTCAACATAATCAAGCAATTGATTGCAGGGCACACATGGAATCATTCAACCTGCCTGTAAACAGGCGAAGCTTCTCCTCTCAGTCGTCCAACAATGCATCGACGTCAAGTGCTGCATTCTGCGTATGGCAGTGCAGGGACGCTTCAGACCCTCTAGATTAATGTTGCAGCTCAGAGCGACGTTGCTTACCATTCCCTTCGGTCCAAGTGTTGTCTTCACCAGATCAGCGATTGCCATGGCTCCAACAAATGAAGCCTGAAATAAGTGAAGGCCCTCAGTCAAACACATCAGGGCATGAAAGACAGCTCGTGTTTGCATCCGCAGATTGACACATCATGTTGCGATGCACTATTATTCAAGGCGTATCTAAGGTTCTGATTCTTTTCTATTTCTGTCTGGTCTTTAATGTGAGTGCGTCGATCAAAATTATCAAATAGGAAGCCGCCACTCTTCCCAGCTGAGAGGGTGGGAAGGGTGGCACACGTTCCCCAATACAGTCTGCCACCACTTTCTAAATTGACAAAAAGGGAGAGATTTGGTGTGTGCTAGCTCACCCTGCCTCAGGCGGCAAGGCTAATCTTGGATGGAAAGAAATAGAGGGTCGACAGTAAGCAGTGAGGACATCAGCTGGTGGCACATGTGTACTTTGCCCCTCATTTGAAGATGTGCTCAAACACCAAACAAATGGAGTAGTATATCATGATCCATAGCCCATACAAAGTATCAAAAGAGACAGAGTGGGACTTTAATGCACAGGGAGAGACATGTCGGAACTATGTGGATGCAGCTAGCTCCTCCTGATTGAAGGAGGCATCGACCAAAGAAGCGCAGAATCTTAAGGGCAGCGAGGAGCTTACCATCCTGGCCCTCTCTCCCTTCTCCTCAACCGCTTCATCTTGCAGAATCCTCGTGCCCTGGAGGATAATGCAAGAGCGAAGGATTCAATACACGATGATAAATCTGCAACAAAAAACATCCTTCGTGCGCCAATTCCAAACCATACAACCGGTTTGCAGCTTTTTAGAGTACACCACCCCTGTCCCGAATCATGCCAACCAATCGATCTCTGCAAAAGCGTCCGCCAAGCACAGCCAGGTAACTCACTCCTGCTCCGGCCATGACCGCCCAATTGCCTCCCGCTTCTTGGATATTGGCTCTCGTGAAGCTGCGACTACAGGGTCACAATCAAGAGCAACGCAGAGATCAATTGAGTGCCAGCTTAGCCGCTCTCTGGCGCCCTCCCTCTTCCTCTGTGAAAATCAAAGCAAGTGATTTGAGCCCCCAGCCTCAAGAGTCAGGTCTGAAAACTGAAGCCAAGGCTGCAAGTTCAACCGTTTGCCACGGAGAATGCGGGATGATGCTCAGACTTGCAACATCGACGGTTGCCATTTGTGCTAAGTTACAAAACTTGTAAGACTTCTAGGGCACTTGATGACCAAAGCCAAGACGATTGTTGAGAACAGCCCCGACCTAGTTCGGAACCACCATGGACAGCTGGCCAGCTGCCACCCTGCGCTGGCATGGTGAATTGGCCCCCTAGTAGCTCTGCACGGTTGGGGCGCTTGCAGGCAAGTGCTTTGTGGAGGCAACCAAAGTGCCTGGCTCCTCTACAATTCTGCGGACGCAATGGCGGAAGCTGCAAAGGACGACCCCGCCCTCGCAGCTGCGCATGATTACGAGGCGAACCGCGCGGCATTGCACGCCGGAGACGCCACGAAGACGTCGCACGATCCGTCTGCTCCTGTCTTGGAGAGTGAGCCCGTAATAGACCCCCCCGTGACCGAGGGGAATCATCATCATGAGGCAGTGTTGGTTGGGGATGAAGAGGAGGGGGGTCCTCGGAGCCCCTGCGGGAACTGCGGGCTGGATGCGTGTCCGACGATCCCGTTTGAGAGCATTGCGAAGCTGTCAGTGTGGTTCTTGCTCATGGGGATGAGCCTGCTGCTCATGGGGGTCGTGGCCCTGGCGGCGCCCAGCCTGCTCAAGGTGATTACGGCATTGCGTTCAGTTGGTTTGAATTTGCACTTCACAACAGGCTGTTGATATCAATCTGCAGGTCTTTTGAAGCGGTTCTGGTTTCGGTGGTTGAGATGGTCGGCAAGCTAACCCTTTTGAGGCTTTCATCGATTTTCAGGCACGTTTGTACACGAGCATTACTGATGTAGATTGTTCCTGACTTCCCTCGGACTTGGGGGTCCAGGAATATCAAGATCCATATCGCCTCAAGATTCATAATTTAGTTGATTCTGGTCAGTGTCTTGGGCGACCAGTTGGCGCAATGTTATGTTGCATGCATACTGTCACGCTCAGTGCTTCCGAAACGAGCAAGTAACACCCTTTCAGAAAATGGATCGTCCTTCCCTGCCCCATTCGAGGCCCACTCAATACTGCTGAGTGTGCTCAAGGGACCTTTTGATGGTTCTTGGGCCAACACTATGCTCCTTCTTTCTTTTGCTTCATCAGCAGGATCGGCAATCTGCCAAATTGATGGGTGGACCTCAACAACCCTTAAGTATAGTCAACCTGTAGATGCCACCAGTATCCCCTCAAACCAACCCGCATTTTCTCTGCTTCCGTTTTGAATTCATCTCTTATGGTGTCACCACCTGTATGGCCTCCTTGACCAGAATCTGACTCGATTTGTTCTCCTTTGCCAGGTACCTGTCAATTGTATTTTTGATGCAATTCTGACCCTATGCTCGCTCTTAGACGTCATCCACGAATTGAGGGGAGAGAAATCGAACCATCGCTCAAAAGTCTGATTTGTCTCGGCTTTCTCGCCCTCAGGCGGCTGCCGTATAATACCTTTTCGGTGCAACTCTTACCTTCTCTCTCTTCGTGTACCTGTTGACTTCTCAAAGCCACCTTAGGCGGCAAGTTTCTTAATCCAGCACCCCGCAATTACCTACCGCAATGCAAACTCTGCCCCAGATGGTCGTTGAGTACCTGCTCGGCGCAACCCTCCCCTTCTCCCTTTCCTTCGCCGTCATCCACGGAGTATACGCCTTCAGCTTCCGGTATTCAAGCTCTTTCTTTGTTCGAAGAGCCTCGAATGATGTCCAGCTCAATTCGTTAAGCTTCCCCCAGGCGGCAGTGCAATACCTCCTTGGGACATCTCTCACCTTTTCTGTTCTCCCTGCCTCTCCTGTTTCCAGCTCCCAAAGCTACAGGGTGGCACTTTCTCGCAATCTACCCCCTATCAATCCAAACACATTGCGAAACCTTCTCCGCTCTCTTTGATCTCATGGACGAAGTTCAACGCGGAACGCATTCATTGAAGAGTCAATTTCTAAACATACTCCTGACTCTCGCTTTCTTGCCTCCAGATGGCCGTCGAATACCTCCTCGGCGCGACCCTCACCTTTTCCGCTCTCTTCGCCATCATCCACGGAGTCTACACCTTCGACGCCCAGGGCAGTTCCGTCTCCATCCTTTACGCCGTCGTCTACCTGCTCCTCGGACTTTTCCTCATCGCTCTAGTTGTCTCAGGCCTCTCGGAAGTGCTCCAGATCTGCCTCGCCGCGTGGCTGGTCATTGGGGGCATCTCCAAGCTCATCCTCGCGGCGCAGCTGCGGCACATGGCGGCGTCGCCCATCGTGCTGATCAGCGGGATTGTGTCGCTCTCGTTCTTCCAGGTTAGCATAAACCTTGCGCTCCTCCAAGGTTCAGTAATTGCGTCCTTTGCGGCCAAACAACTTCAACGAGAATGATATCCTGTATCCGCGTAGGTAGTCTGGTCGCATCAGGCTTGACGACGTTTGCCCAGCAATCTTTCATCGAATTGGATGTTCTCCCCAGAAATGATGCCGGAAGAATCCTTCATAGGCAACCCACGGATGCTCAGTTTGTTCCGCAGATTTATCATTGCCTCCGCAGGCAACAGGGCAGGAACAAACAGTCGACACCATCAACAGAGAAAGCAACATGTCTATCGTACTTTCCTTTTTGTCCGAGGTGACTAAGCTAGTGGAAAAGGAACAAAACGGGACCCTTATATGTGCTGTAGTCTGGAACGGAGATTGAGATTGTGAAATCCTGTTGCCAGGTGGCGGTCACCCGGTGGCACCACGACACGCGCGACCGCGACAAGGTGTTTGGCATCATCATCGGCGCAGAGCTTCTGTCCAACGGCGTCGCCAGCTCGTGCGTCGCGCTCACTGCGCTCTGCTCCACGCGCGTGCACCACAGTGAGACCCCGATCCATTTCCTGGACGCCAGCATATATACCCTTGTCGTTAGTGTTGCATTCTGTGTTTGTATGTTTTGCGTTTACGCTTCCCAGGGATAGGGGTGCTTCTAGCTCACCCGCTCTGCTCCATGTGCTTGTAAACAGATGCTGGTCGTGTCGAGATTGCCAATCCGTGTACCGTGCTTACATTCGAGAATTCGTTCACACAGTCCGTGTGAGAGCGGCATGGCTCAAGATGCTCTGGTTCGAGATGCTCTTAATCCACTTTCCGTCTTTCCTTGCAATGCAAGAATGCTAGCTCCCTGATTCCCTCGAACACTTTCCGTCCTGGCATGAAGGTGGAGATTAGAAGCAGGTTTGCATTGACGAATCTCTAAACGCTACTTTGTCTTGGACCCGAAAATTGGATCGGAACAGCGACATGCTTATCTGGATCATGCAGCAAACGCTCACAAGCGGATAGGTTTTGGTTTGCGTTACTGATGACAAGTGGCAAAATGCAGATCTTGGCACCGACCCTCGGAGAGGAAGCGAAGAGGATCTCCACCGGCCCATCTTGCATTGACAGTGAGGCCTTAGTTGCGTGAGACATGCTGAATCAGCCAGTGGGCTGGTTGCGTGTGCGTTATATAGAAGACGCCAGATCGTCCAAATGGGAGGAGGATCTGGAACATGGGGCCAGTGTCGCAAACGGCAACTGTTTCTCGCTTCTTGATTGGTCTGGAATTGCGACAAGTTTACAGTCATCTCAAACAGAATGGCTACAGGTACTGAGATAGGTATGAAGCCAAAGTAATTACCATGTGTATAGCATGTAGTTCTTGCAGCACGCTAGCAGTGTATGCCACACGCAAGGATTCTTGTGATGTGTTCGAGCACTCAAGTTCGTTGACGACGTCATTAGCTTGAGTCGGCAAGCTGACATTCATTTTACCTTGTAACTTCGCGTCGGGTGCTTCTTTCTGCGACCGTCAATAATTCTGTGCCATTGCGTTCAATGCACCCTTTCACAAGGTTTTCCAATCGGGGTGCACATCAATATTAATGACAAAATGCTTAAAAGTGCATGATTATTCACTAATTGAAACCACTGACTCAGTGCTCGACTTCGGCCATGCTAGGTTACTAAATGAAATCTCATATGTTGCCACGGCCAACGGTTGGCCGCGGCCAACCGGAGTGCATGACAGCTGTCAGGCCGGATCGAGCATGAAATAGATACGTTCAAGGCTTGAAGTAGCTAGGGCCAATCATTCATATGTCGTGTGTGGCCGGAGCATGCAAGCTCGGCACTGCCAATATTGCGAACCGCTCTACCAGCTAGGAGCTCTACATAAAGCTAGGCATCAATTAAAACGCGCGTAGATTGCTAATTGACGTGCGGCGTGACCGTACGGTACCACGCGATGCAAACGACTATATGAGAGCAACTAAAGTGCCGGTTTGAACGCCGCCGGGGGGTCGATTATGAATTGGCCGGCCGGGCTTTGGCGACAGATAGTAATCAGACCACTCGACAGACTTTTATGTTCAGCATTTCTGAAACTTGTATTTCTTCCTCAGCGGCATCTCTGCTACCAATGACAACCCTAGATCGTACGCAAGGTTCAGCCCAGTTCCAAAACATGAACAGCAAGTCTGTGCGGGCATGGTCGGCCAGTGTACCATTTTCCGAAATGATTCGGAAAACCCTTAACGTGAGGATCCCGCTCAATCGGTTTTGCGATGCGCTCTGGGACCATGCGGCCTTAGAAACCCGTGTACGTTATTATGCATAATGTAACAACGTACGCCGATAGAACAACCCACCAGAATGTCGCGCCCCCTCAATTGGGTTTGTTCTTGTTCGAGATTGGGGCTCGAAACCCCTTGTACGCTCCGCTGAATAACTCAACAACGCCGAGCAGAAGGATTCGCCCCATCGGAGCAGGAAGAACGTCGGAGCCTCTCAATCAGTTTTGTTCTTGTTTGAAAGTATGGCTCGAAACCCCGTGTACACCCCTGTGAATAACTTCACAACGCCAAGCAAAAGGAGTCCCGTCAAGACCAGGAAGAACATCGCTTTACTCAATCGGTCTTGTTCTTGTTTGAGACCAAGGCTCGAAACCCCTTGTACACCCCCGTGAACAACTTGACAACGCCAAGCAAAAGGAGTCCCACCAAGACCAGCAAGAACAGCCCGGTGTCGTATCGGTGCCGAACGTACCACGGCATTGAAAGGCCAGCCATTTGCAGGTGATCGGAGCCCACCTCCGCAATATGCTCCACGAAATCTGCGAAGAAGGGAAAAGAAGAGTTGCTTTTGTGACTGTTATCATTGCGAGGGAACGTGCTTGACACAAGATTTGTACAAACCTTGCAAAGCGCGTCTGAACCCAGTTCCTGAGGGCGGAGGGTTGGCGTCTCGAAAGCACAGGAAGAGTGGCGATCGAAGGGTGGTCTTGGATAATCTAACGAGAACCGTGCAGGACAAACTGCACCTTTTCATCAGATCAGGGATTCCGCGAGCAAATCTAACCTTCTAGAAGGAATCTAGGCTAGCGTCTTCGCCAGAGGACTCAGACCAGCACAAATAGGAGCACGAAAATCTAGAGGCAGCGTGATTTGTGATAAGGTTTGCGTCTTGGGGTCAAACATCTAAAAACGCAAAGGCGGTTTCCAAATCAGCAACCGCGCTTGCATGTTGTCCAATCCCCTCACAAGGCCGCTTCCGCTGACACGCGGGTCCGTGCATTCACCAGGCCATTCAGTGGATGCTTAAGTGCTCTTCTCGTCGATAGACGGAACAGTGGTTGAGGTTGGCATGAGGAAACGGCGTAAGAACTGGCTGTCAACGCAACCCCACTCACCGAACCCTTTCGTATGGCGACCACCCGGCGACCACCCGACCCAACCGTCCCACTCACCTGCCGCCTTTTCGACGCCCCCGTACGCCCGGAAGATCCGCGCCAGCCTCTGCGCCTTTTGCTGATACTCGTTTACCCCATCCGGCCCAGCTGACGTCACCTTTTGGACGGCAGACGTCAGCTCGGACGGGGTGACGGTTGCCAGGTTGAGGACGGGGAAGCCGGCCGCGGCCAGCCGGGCGCCCACGTCCGTTTGGTCTGCAGAAGGGATGCAATTGTAGATCCTTTCAGACAGATCGAGTTTCCTCATTGTTCCGAAGTAGATCTTGCCTGCCACGCTTCCAAAGCAATCTGATCGGAATGGCTTCCCATTTTTCTGCGTGTGCTTCCGCTGCTCACACCCGTTTGTCTAGAGTGCATTTTCTGGTTCACGGATTCTCTTCTTCTCCTCCTTGATCAGTTTGTGTGTTTGTCTCTCTTCGACATCAGGTTTCTCCGCTTTGTTCGTCGAAGCACTTGCCCTTGCATCGCGCCGTCGTTCTGTTTGGTCTTCGTGTGACGTCCAGTTCCTAGCTTCGCCTCACCTCTTCTTGAGCGCGACAAGGCAACCAGGCCCGTATTCTAAGCCGACCCAAAGTGCCGGTCGATTGACCAAAAATGGAATAATGAGCTGCGTGGACTTGATCGGCAGCAAGCAGCATCAGGTGGTGCAGGGTTTGAAGCTTTGAAGCAAAGAGGTTTGACGGCGCTCATTTTCAAGTGCTCTTGATTAGTCTACTGGCCGACACTGGCCAGGTCCGGAGGAAGAGAACGAGGTTTCAAAGGGTCGTCCGTGCCTTGTTATAGAACGGAATCAAGGAGCTTCTTATGATGGCTTTCGAGCTGCTTTCAGCATCTGAGAGCAACGGACTGCCTGTGCACTGAGAAGCTGCTTTTGGCTATCAACTAGCAGATCCTTACTTCTTCCATATAAGATCAGAAGGGCTGAGTCAAAAGTCTCACCAGCAACGAAGGGAATGCCGACAGGTGGCACCGCGTTTGCCAGAGCTTCCTGCGTGACCGGAAGCGCCGACTTGTTTGGTCAGGAGGTTTATTCTTAGCTTTAGTTCACCTCATGACGTCATGGGCAACTTCGACACGCGTTGACACGTTGCTGACCTACGGTTCGCACAATTGCAAAGCCTGAAAGAAGCGGGTTCTCAGTGATAGGATGCATCACGCCTCCAGCTGAGAACATGCGCAGAGGGTGTTTCGACTTTAATAAGAGATTCTAGGACGAGGAGACCGACGCTGTGAACGGAAACTTTTGCAGCAGGATTCTACACCTCAACATAACGTGAACAAACCGCAACCGTGTGACTGGAATCTGTTTGCCTTTTGGGCATGGCTTCAAGGTGACAAAAGACACGCCTTTCAATGCAAATAGGCTCTTTGAAGAGATTTGACGGGAGAATGGAGCCTTCCATCGGCAGAGGCTCACCTGCACCCCGTTGTTGCCGCAGTGCGTCACCATTGCAGCCACCGCCCGATGCGCCAGCACCGCCCGCTGGGGGATCCATTCCTTCAGCCGAAAAGTGCTTGGGACATTCAACCCGGCCAGAGTCTCTTGATAAACACCCCTCAAAGCCCACAGCACGTTAACCCGGGTTGCTCCCAGTCCCTCCACAATCAGTCGGGCAATGCGCTCGTCAATAACGTTAACCGTCCCCAGACTAACTAGAACCACAGACTTAACCGGCTTGGAGTCGAGCCACGCTTGCAGGGGTTTGGGGAAAGCTTGCATGGTAGGCACAGTTAACGGCCCGGTTTGGATCACGTTGGGGGGAAGTGGGGCGGGGAAATCAAACCCGGGCGCAGCATTTAAGATCGAAGGCATCCCGTGCATGTCAAAAATGGTCCGGAGCCCGTTTCGGGGGTTTAATCCATGTTTGCGGAGGGTTTCGGGGATGTGGGTTCGCACGAGGTATGGTTCAATCAGGTAACTGTTCACGAAGCTGACGAGCTCGTTTTTGAGGCGTTGGGGGAAGGTCATACGGTCGGAGAGCCCGGATCCAAGCACGGGATACGGCCAATGAGGTCGCCAGAAATAGTTCTCCAACATGTAATTTAAAACCACCGGAATGCCGTGCTTGCGATAAATGCTCGTGCCCATTCCTCGGTACACGTTGCAGACGACCAGGACGTCTGGATGAGGTTCGTGGGTCAGAAGCTTGTCCAAGTCCACGTAAGCGCTGGTGTCAGCTTCCGAGAAGTGCTTCACGGCGCCCAGCAGGTTGGTGCCGCTTCGTGTCTGTTGGAAAGATGAAAATAAGTTCATTCATAATCCAAGCCTGGTGTGGATCAAGTAGAGAGTCCTTTGTATATGAGGGTCATCTTATCTGGGGATTCTGTAGTCAGAGAAGGTTGAGAGGTTGTTGTCGCAGGGGATGAATAACTTTAACGTGCAACTCAGCATGCTTTAAGGACAAATCGATTCCCTCTAGGTTCACTTTTACCAGATTACTTCTTGGCAGTACGGCAGATTGCTGGGTCTGTCTGCTTACTGAAAGCTATGAAGTATTGAAGCAGCAAACTGCCCAATCATTTGAACTCCATGTCACAGAGAAGTAAGAGCTCCATTAGCGGTGCAAGACATACAGCAACCGATCCATTAGTTCAGAGAAACTCCCAAACCACCTGCCAATCGCCTTCCTCACTACTCGATTATGTATACAAATCATTCATCTACAGTCATCTTCAGAATCAATATGGATTCAAAGTCCACATCCATTGCACCGCAAGCCTACCTGATTAACGATGTCCTCCAACTCAGTCTTATTCAGTGGGGTGAATCCCAAAGCTCGGAAGGCGATTCCTGCTTCGCTGACAGAACGTTTGGGGACGTCCTCGTTGTCCCTCTGAACTTGCGCCAAGAAGGTGACATTGTGACCCCGCAAGTGGAGCTCTGAGGCGATAGACAGCAGAGGTATATAGTGGCCTGCAATGCAAGCAGCGGAGAGTTGGCTGCAACCGCACAACATCATCCCCACCTTTCTTGGCATTGCCCCAGAAAGTTGAGTGAATGTTTTTGAATCAACCGGTGTGAGACTGGTGAAAAAGTTCAACAAGCGACAGATTCTTGGCCCTGCATTGTTGCTACAGGCTAATGCAACGACTGGCAAAGTCAAAAATGAGTTTGACCGTCAACACTTAGTTCAGTACCTTCACGAGGTGCGATGTTCAGTGCATGCAGGACTGCATGGATAATCAACTATAAGGGGCTGTTTTGAGATCAAGAACCATTAAATGTCCCTACTCCAGGTTTCTGGCTTTGGTCAGTGTAATGCTGGAGAAAGCAGGCCTGTAACCAAGAGAGCCATATGGAGTTCGGTGGCACTTGACCAAGATGATGAGACACTCTCATAACATGTGTCGTCTACATTTACATCACAAGTTGCTAAACTGTAACCAAGAGACCTTATTGTGAGATGAGAGTTCTCTGTCCCAGCATGTGTGAAAGGGGGCGAAAGACAAGTTTCACAAATGAGGGCCAACGACGCTTACCAGCAAAAGGGGGGCTGATGACATAGACAGTCAATCGAGGCAACTCGTCCTTAGGACCCAAGGTCTTGAATCTTGCATTCACCGGCGCAGCATACGTGTTTGCAAAATTTGAGAGAAACACCAGTATCGCCAACAAGGTCAAGAAGGCCTGACGGCCCAGGCAATTCGCGCTGCACATTGTTGGTTGACTTCTTAGAAGTTCAACCCCGCGGGTTTAGAGGAACTCATTAGCAGAGCAACAAAGACGTGGGTGCTCATTCGCTCTCTCGTCGAGAAGGCCACAGACGCCAGGCAAAACAGCGCCGTGCAAGGAGCTCATCCGAAAGAAGCGCTCCCAAATTCCAATTCATTAATCAATGCAGGAAGATTGCAAGCTTAGAGAAATTCTTCAGACAGCTGCGCAATTGCAGGGGATCCCCTGGGCAGGGACAACTACCTAGGTGTGCAGAAACCTTTGAATGTACACGACCAATCGCAGCCGTTGAAACCACCTATGACGATCAGAACCATACAGATCGAGCCACTCGATATGGGAACCTTCTATCGGAAGGCTCACATCATCTCTAGTCCTTCTGAAAGACTGAACAGACGGTGAACTTCGGAAGGGGCGGCCCCCAGGCCAGGGTTGTTGACTCTTGAGTGAGGACTTCAGCAACTTGCGTGGAGGAGTGAAAGACGTTCATGGCGCCCTTTTTAGAGGAGATGCAGATGCAGCCTTGAATCAGAATCCCCGAAAGGAAAGACGGGCTTCTACCATGAGCATCTCAAGCTAAGGTTTTTGGTCCTGTGAATTTTCAAACGAGAGCAGATGGCGGACCAGACAAAGGGTTGGTTCAACAAGTTCACGGCGACACGGGGCGCCACGAAACTGCAGGGTCCTGCCATGCTAGCTGGAGAAGGGGAGGCTCCGGGAATGCAACAGATGAGCGGGCCAAAAGCAGACGCGTCGTTGCCTGATGCTGACTTGGCGTCCACAGTCACGCGGCAGAAGGTGGCAGCTGCTAAGAGCATGATTGAGAGTCACTACAAGATGCATTTGAAGAACCTGTCTGACAGAAGAGAGAGGTGAGGGGGGTTTTCTTGCACGTGAGAGAGCTCAATTCAAGGGTTGGGGCGGGACAGAGGCTGACTTGAGTGGGGTTGCCTTGGCCCGTAAAGGGGTCTTTTCATTTCACAATGTCGGTTAGCCAGTCAAATAGATGCTGAGCAATTCTGCCATGACATGGCCCCTTATTCTGCTGTTTTCCATGTCCAATGCAGGCGGTATAGTCTTGAGAAGCGCATCCAGCAAGCAGATCTCCCAGAGGAGGAGCAGCACCAGTTGGTCAAGGAACTGGAGAGGAAAGAGACGGAGTACATGAGGTTGCAGCGTCACAAGTTCAGCATTGACGATTTTGAGCTGCTCACAATCATAGGCAGAGGTGCATTTGGAGAGGTGAGCACGAGGCACTCTGCTTTTTTAGGGTTCTGGTCACAATGGGACTTAACGATCTGACGGCATTGTGAGGGAACCAGCATTATAGTCTCCTCCGTACTATGTTCATCAAACTCCTTTGCTCTTGTTATAATAAGAGTCCACAAGACTCCCATTTTTTGTAAGCGTCATTAAAATTTACCTTCGCTGGACCAATGCTAACCTCTGGCAAATTGCTGCAACAGTCAGGATCTCGAGCTTCAGCAGATTGGAGGTTTGTCGCCTTGCAGGTGTCCCAGTCTTGTCAACAAGGATCACATCCACTCGGCTGCTAAGTATCTGAACCGTCACCAAAAAATCGAACCAAGGGCACTCCCCTTGGCTAGGCATCTCATTACTCTGCTTCTGTCTGCAGGTTCGGCTCTGCCGAGAGAAGAACACGGGCAACATTTACGCGATGAAGAAGCTGAAGAAGTCTGAGATGTTGAGGAGGGGCCAGGTGGAGCACGTGCGGGCAGAGCGGAACCTGCTGGCGGAAGTGGATAGTCACTGCATCGTCAAGCTGTACTGCTCTTTCCAGGTTAGCCTCCCTATTGATCGTTTCTCCGGCTGGACTCCTTGCTGACCCTAATGTTTGGAGGTTGACTGTTCTCATCAAAGCCCAATTTGTATCAACAGTCATTAAGGCTTCTAATGAAGAGGTAGATTGTTACCTGAGCTTTCTAGGATGCAGGGAAACAGTTTATTTTGGAACCTTAGTGTCCGTGTCCCTGTCCTAGTCTTGGCTCTGCTACAAAGAGTCCGCCTGAGAGCTTCATACTCAATCACCTACGCAAATTGCAGAACATCGTTGTAAACAGTCTATCCGTTGTCTGTATACCCCTGACTCTGGTTTCCCATAAAACTGTCAGCGAGTGTCTGAACCGTCAGCAAACCAACCTTTTCTGTTTACAAGATCTTCACCTAATGAATGTTGACAATCTTGTTTCTCCAGGATGAGGAGTATTTGTACCTCATCATGGAGTACCTGCCCGGCGGGGACATGATGACGTTGCTCATGAGGAAGGACACCTTATCGGAGGACGAGGCCCGCTTCTACGTTGCTCAGACTGTGCTCGCAATTGAGTCCATCCATAAAGCCAACTACATCCACAGGTATGTCGGTGACCGTTGGCTTCCTTTGTATTAACGAGTGGAAAAGAAGGATGCTGTTCTGTTTTTGCCGTCAACATTTTCCTGTTAAAATGGAGATTTGGACAATTTGAACTAAGCTGAGCCTTCTGAGAAACTGTGCTTCCGTTTGAATAAACTCGGGCCAACAATTGCCAACCCATGCTACCCATGCCTCGTTATCTTAGTAGTGTTTCAGACGAGCATACGACCAATCTTATCATCGGGCTTGAGTTCATCAGATTTGGACGTGATCAGACTGCAAAGCTGTAGCTCGAAAAGCATGTGAAAAGTCTTATTTGGCCTCCTCTTAGAGCTTTTCATCATTCTGTCAGCTGTGCGTTCTGGGACTGTCAGCTGATAGTCAATTTCAGGTGACTCTGGGCAAGATTGCTGGTTCGCCTTTATGGTACTGCGAATTGTGTAAAAACTTTCTGTGGTTCTTAAGCGTTGTGCCTGTCTCTGCAGGGACATCAAGCCTGACAATCTGCTTCTGGATCGGGACGGCCACATGAAACTGAGCGACTTCGGGCTGTGCAAACCCATCGACACAAGCAAGCTGCCAACGCTGCTTGAGAACGACCAGGTGCGCAGATCTAGGGTGTTGAACTCTCGCAGTACTGTCACAGAACATGTGTTTCTCTGTTCTGTCGGCGCTGAACTTACTTGGTGCAGAAGGAAGTTGCCTCCCTCTTGTACACCTCAATAGATTGGGCTAAGACGAGTGGCTTGTGTCACACTCTGTGTAGTCTTGGAAAGGGGTATGCGCTTGTCATGCGACCACCTGGCTGCCTCGAAGCATGCAGCCAAGGGAAGGCCCAGCGAATGAGGGCTACTGCCACGTTGCGAAACACGAATGCTTTGACCTTGCCAACTTCGAGGCAGAACATCTGCCGAGGTCCCTCCGTCACCATCTGCTGAAATGTTGAGACCCTATGCTTCGTTGAAACAGGGCATTGGGGACCTTTGTCCCCGGGCGACCAAGTAGCTGAGGTTTCCTCTAAGATCTGCTCAGGATATTGAAAGTTGTGCAGATTTTGTTGCGATACTAAGCCGCACTCCCATGAAGCATGACTTACTGTGGACACCCATGGCGGGATGCTCCCTCAATGGCGGGATGCTCCCTCAGAGACGCTCTGTCCTATGCTCTAAGGACTTCGTGTGAGTTTCGTACTTGGAAGAGTACATGTCAAATCCAAACGCTGACCACTAGATACTTTCGCTGCAGGACGAGGAGATGGCTGACGCCAGCACGAGCGGTCACCCTGCCGCGCCGGGCTACGCCCCAAACTTTCCCACTGTCCGTGGCCCTTCCATGCGGAGTCAACAAGAGCAGCTGTCGCACTGGCAGCAAAACAGGCGAGCAATGGTGAGAGACACTGCATTCGCCGCGCTGAGAGGATTTCAACATGGGAGTGGACGATTTTGTGCAAGCAATGTTACTTCTTGTAGAATTTGTTTTTCTTACTTTTTGCGCCGCCTAGTCTTGCGGGACTCGAATAGTTGGCTGGATGATGTGCGGCATGAAGCTGGTCTCCGATGTTTGAGACGGCCTCTTGGACAATTGTTGTGCTGCGACTTCCTCATTACCCAAGAGTCCGTGAGGGCCTCCTACTTAAGGTATGATGAAGGGCTTCCTCAAGATTACGATTTCAGCTCGGATCTGCTGCCATACGGATTCCAGTTGCATAGTCCGCAGCAATTACACATGAGTCGGTCGGTTTGCAGAGCAGAGTCTATTTCAAACGAGCGTTGGTGCCCCTAAACGGGCCAACTGGGTTTGCTGTGATGCTTCTCGATTCGATCCAAACCAATCAGAGATCCTCTTTGCCCGCGCTCGTCTGCAACTTCATAAAGCAGGCGGATCATGAAATTTCACGACGGCCGAAACACGTGTTGCAGCCGTCCGATTGTCACATAACAAGCCCGGTCTGCAAGCTTAGCCATGGGCCCACCAGTCGCATCCGGACACGTTTCGCCAACGGGTTTCGCAAAACCCTCAAATAACAGCGAAGATGGAGCGTCCATCTTGCGACGTTGAAAGGTAACGGAAGCGGCACGAGTTGAAGCCGTCCCCCAACCACTTTTGAAATCTCGCGCTCCGTCTCAAGAGGTTTTCCGTTTCTTCTCATGTTGATCTTCCGTTCCGTTGTCAGGCGTTTTCGACGATGGCCACGCCGGACTACATCGCGCCCGTTTAGGGAGACGCATCAAGAATCACACCAAATCAACTACAGGTCCTATCTGCCCTTGCTCCTAAGCAACTTTGCAATTCGCCAGTGCGCTCATGCTGGTTCTCCGTTCCGTTCAGGCGTTCTCAACGGTGGGCACGCCGGACTACATCGCGCCGGAGGTGCTGCTGAAGAAGGGGTACGGCATGGAGTGCGACTGGTGGTCGCTGGGGGCGATCATGTACGAGATGCTCGTCGGCTACCCGCCCTTCTACAGCGACGACCCCATGTCAACCTGCAGAAAGGTGGGGGGCTTGTGTTTGCCGGAGTTTAAAGATCATTGAAAATGGAACGACTTTCGGAAGGAAACTTTACTTCACTGCAAGCGCAAAGTAATGATATGTTGCGGTTTCTGTGAAGCCGAGTTTGTATTTCTGCGCTCGTTCGTCTTGCACACAAGGCTCATAAGGACCCTTCTTCTTTTCAAGAGGTATACTTTGATTTGTCGAGTCGTGGTGATTCATCTTGTTGGGGACGTTCCTAGACGTTCGCATTGAAGCTATTGGATGTGATGTGCTTCGACGAGCGGGTTTCCTGTCGAGTGCACGTCGGAGAGCCGGGGTCTTGGAGTTCAAGGATCCGCGGTCTGTAGGCTCCAAAAGCTTTTCATGTGCAATCAAACGGCTGTCGGTTCATCTTGTTCTTTCTGTCCAGAAAAGGTTGTCTCTGCCAGCTTCGGTATACTGGTTGCTTGCAGAGAGAACACGATGACAAGGAAGGTCATTGATCTTTGTCGTCGCTTATCTTTGCGTCCAGGGTCGTTGCAAATTTTGCGTCCAGGGACTGTCCAGCCGCATCGCCTCGCCCTCCTTCCGTCCTCCCCTCCTTGTTTGCTCGAGTTGGACATGGGTTCTTGAAACCTTGCCAAAACCCTCTTCTTTCCAGCTTCTCTGCACTCTCAAAAGCCAGATTATCCTGCCGTTGGGGGACTCATTTTGAGTTTTGATGTGGCTTGCAGATTGTGAACTGGCGGACGCACCTCAAGTTCCCGGACGAGGCGAAGCTGACTCCCGAGGCGCGGGACATGATCGAGCGGTTACTGTGCGACGTCGAGCACCGGCTAGGCACACGCAGCGTACAGGAGATGAAGGTGAGCGCCTCCAGGCGCTAAGCTGACTTTCCGCTCTCAAACGAGCTCCTCGCCCTAGCTTGACCCGTGTGGAATTGACTCCACAAGAGGTTGGGGGCGCCACTTAGATATTATCATACCGCATTCCATAAGGCAATGAGTTGGGAGTTGTCCTACTTCGAACTTCAAGCCGCTGACACCCAGATGAGCGGATCCCCTTCCGGATTTCAGCGCTTATCGTGCTTTGATTGTCGTCTTCGTTTTCTTGTTCTTGAGGAGGTTCTTGCCCTATTGCTGCCGCTATCAAATCCTGTTGGTCGCTGCTGAAGAGTCGCCAACTTTTGGTTTCGCCTGCTTTAGGCCCCCCTGTATTGTCTCAGTTTGAGCACGGACACCCAAAACTTTTACCTCAGCCGCACCTAACCGCTTGATAGGTACATGCGTTTGCTACCAATTGACATTCTTCATGAATCTGAAATTTGCAGTTGGGTTCTCACTCTCCCCCTGGTCTATGAGATTTTTGGGCTTCTGACCGGCTTGACTTTTGATGAAAGTTGATCTTCAACCTCTTCTGAACCGGTTTGCAGTCTCATCCGTTCTTCTATGGTATCGACTGGGACAACCTGTACAACGTCCCAGCAGCGTACAAGCCCGAAGTGACGAACGAGTTGGATACACAGAACTTCGAAAAGTTTGAGGAGGTGAGTCTGGCACCCGAGTCCTTGTTACAACTTGTGAAAGTCCCGCTGGTACATGGATTGAGTATTCCCGGCCTTATAAGTTAAGAGCCTGCTTTGAGGTTACCCCCGGTCAGAATCTGTGAGACAAAGTTGCACCTGCGTGAACTGGTATCTGGCCGATTCCCATTGCTTTCAAGGGGGGGTTCGCGAATTCAAAGCTGATCATACTTTGTCTCATCGATAGACTCGCGGATCATTGGTTGCTAGGACCGCAAGTATTTTAACCAGGTCCGCTTTTTGTATCGGATCACAAACTGTATCTCAATTTTATAGGTGGGTGTACTGTTTTGATGTAAGCTTGTGGATTCACCTAAGCTGGACGCGCAATGAGCTTTGCATTCAGTTACATCCGATCGCTGCCGTTCAAATAGATGCGGTTACCTTTCACACCAGGTGAACCCTCCTCACACGGGGCACAAGAGCGGGCCGTGGCGGAAGATGCTGAGCTCCAAGGACGTCAACTTCGTGGGGTACACTTACAAGAACTTCGAGATCGTCAAGGTCAGGCTCCCTCCGGCTGAAACTCCTCATTTTCCTACACTTTCGGAAGGAGACTCGTGTGCAAGGAGATTGAGTTCGAAGGAGGAAGCACTTACGCCTTGTTGCAGCAGACTTGACAGGCACTGCTCTGAAGGAGTCTGGTGTGGCGCTTGAAGGCGTTGCAGACAACACACTGAGAGTTGAACGACTTTAGCACTGGCGGCATGACAGCACTCAGCTTTCCGCAGCAAGCGTTCGGGTATGTTGGAGTTTCTAGTGGTCGCTTAGTCGAACTTTTTCAGTTCCATCTCGACGAAGGGGTTGGTATTTTCTTTGGTGAGCGTCGACCCGGAGGCTTATTGCAACTGTTCTCTTAGCAGGGCGGTGGGTATGCGACACAGCGGGCTTTCAGAAGACTCTCACCTGATCAGTCACCCTTAAATCCGCGCTGCTTCATTGGCAGACGTTCGCTTGGTGCTCTTCTAAAGACGGCGGCGTGTGACATGTTCTCTTTGGCGACCGACATCTGGATTTCCACCTTCGCTCCTTGATCTGTAAGTCGCTGCAAGTGACGTGGCACAGCGCTCTTGAGCAGACGAGCTAGGGCTCCGAAAAACCGCTGACTGTTGGCTGGCCTCTCCGCAGGAGCAAGCCAACAGCCCCCTGGAGTTGAAGAAGAAGAAGCCGAAGCGGCCGTCGCTGAACGCCGTCTTCGACAACATGGCCAGCCACGCGGGCTCGTCATATCCGCAGTACCCCGGCGGGAACGCTGCCTTTGGGACCCCCCTGGACGCGAGCAGTGCCAGTCAAATGAACCCGCCCGCACACAGCCCCGGGGGGAGCACAGTGCTGAGATCAAACAGGGACGGTTCCGCTGTTGCAATGGATGTGACCCCCCCAGAGTCGCCCCACTCAATACACCCCCCGCCCCCCGCTATCCCGCACCACCAAGCGCACCCGTTGCCGCACACGTATTTACAAGCGCCCAACCAGCAGCAGCGGTGGTAGGGGTAGGACGAGCGTGCTATGAAAAACCTGATCTGATTTATGTACATATAACTTGAGCTGACAACTCTTATCTTGAGCATATCTTTCTTGACTAAGCGGGACAAAGCAAGCAGAGAGTTTGGCGCTACATGATTACTATGCTGCATCCAGGCTGCATCTGAGCCTTATTACCTGAAGGTCATTATGCAAAGCTTTTTGACCAATACTCAATGGCTCAAAATGGCGTTGTTTCAAGTTTGCCTTAATTAGCTAGAATCTCTACAACGATCGGTGCTCTGTTGCCGCGTAAGCACGGAGCTAATGGTGAAATCCAGTTCCCAAATTAGTCGGCCATTCTGCATACATGTCTTGCACTTCAAATGCATGTTTCATATACGGCCATGGGCGATGTGTGCTAGTAGGACTCTAGGCGATGGCACGCTGCATGCACGATGTCAAGGCAGTGACTGACATCACTACACTGCAGCGCGAAGGCTGATCGGACGCGGACCTGGCCATGAACCAGTCAAATTCTGAGCGGGCTTACATTAAGCTTATATACCCAATTGCAACGGCGCGTCGGATGAACCCACATCTAAAGCAGCCCATGCAATTAATGCATCCTGCCAAACATGCGCCTGCATGCTTGTCAGGCTAGCTGGTACGCGAAATTGAATTACTAATTCCCATGCATCGATCGACATGGTGCTCAAGTGTATATACCCACTGCATGGCTTGATCAGTTCCTAATCCTTTATCCGGGTCTGCCAGAGACGTCGCGCTGAGTCCATGGCCCTCCAATAACATATGTTCAAAGGCGTTGCCAGATAAATGCACAGCAAGTTACCATCCTGGCACCTACTCAAAGATCGCGGACATGCCATATTCCAACCATGCAAAATTCCGCCATGTGCAAATGAACACACCAGGCTCCGAGCCAGATTCACTCATTGCACGAGGTTTATATAGCTTCGAGCTGGGCCAGCCCGCGCCAAACTCATCATGCCAAGTTGCACAAGGGTATAGAGGATCATGTGCCGCAGCACATTGATTCATGCTGCGCCGAGCCACTGACAAAGGATCGGGCGCGCCGTATGTGATCGCATCATTTCAAGCTAGTACGTTTGCTGCCAGTGCGACTCACTGGGACTCGCGCCCGTATTAACGCATCGGTCGACCATGTCATCGGTGATGCACTGGCCATGTGCAATACCTTGCTAGCTGCTTGCCACCCGGTGCATCTGTCTTATCTTTGATTAGTGAATGGGATTAGAAAGTGTATTAGAATGACGACGACTACGACCAACTCACCTACATGAATGATTCCCTACCCGCTCGCATAAGTATTGCAAAGTTCACCGACTTAACCTCAATCCTACTCGTCGCTCCAAAACGCCTATACCCTGAGCTCTATATGCGAGCGGAATCAACCCGAAGCTACCTAAGGCGCTCCTACGAAGCCGGGCCTTGAGGGCCTTCAATCTTTGCATCATTACCTTGGTATACACTCTCAAATTCAGAGACAACGACTCGAGGATCTCTTGGCCTATCCACTCCATACAGTACAACTCGAATGGTGCCACGGTGCCACGCCAGATAAGGGAACACGAACGTTCAAAATTGCAAAGCTCAGACTCTTCAAGAGCGTGCACAAGTCTACAAGCTCGGCGGGACGAAGCCGTTGTTTTTGCAGTGAGGGAAGAAGTTGCCTGGGGGATTGAACCCGTCGCAACCTTCGGAGTCGCAGCAGACGTATCTGCCCTGTGGATCGTTGTTGTACCAGCAGCGCACGGGGAAGCTTGCAGCTGCCCCCGTCCCGCACACGCCTGCAGACAGGACACGTGTCGCTCAGCGGTCGCCCCAGAAGAGGCTCTTCGACTCTCCCCTACTACTGACCGGCAAAGGATTGAGACAGCTGCGTTCTACCTTTCAATAGAACTCGTGAACTGTGCCTTGCCCCAGAAGAAGTGAAGTCCTGATCTCAACTCCTCCTTGCTACTGCTGACTAGCAAACGATGGGGCCCAGCCGCGTTCCACAACCAATCAAAGACGTGACCTTCTACTTTCTCGAAAGTGACTGCTGCGGTCATCATGACCAGGGGGACTGCAATCTGAAGTCTTGAAGCTGTCATACGTACTGACTGGAGCGTATGCGGCCTTTGTGAACCTTGCGGCAGAGCCATACAAAGTACGACTGCCTCTGACACACGGGCGGAATCTTAATTGTCCCGCTTCGGGGTGGCTCGAATCATACTAGGTAGTAGTCCACAAGCAAGCTTTCCAACAATCATTGATCAAGAAAGCGGCCCGTCTATCAACCGGTCACGACCAGGCCTAACCGCCGCGAAAGCGAGCCAAAGGGTTGAAAAGCCCCTTCATGGACAAGTTTGTGCACCAAAAGTACATGTTGCAAGGCTCACCCTGCAAAGCACTTGGGGGGTTCCGCCCCGACGTGATCGAGCGAGCCCACCTAGCTGGAAAGTCCTTTCAACAAAACACTTCATGTATCAAAACCAAGAGTTAAAGGAAATAAGGAAACTCAATCGGCTCACCCTGCGAGTTAGTCGGGGGCTCCGGGGGGGGAGGCGCCGCCCCGGCGCCGTAGTTGGGCGGCACGTAGCCGTAGATTTTACAGTGGGGGGTCAGGTTGTCGGCGTTGAACCCGTCGCAGCCCTGCCCATCGCAGCACACGTAGCGCCCCTGGGGGTCGCTGTTGAACCAGCACCGCGTCGGGAAGAAAGCTGCGTCGCCTGAGCCGCAAACACCTGCAGAGACGTTCGCCCTGTCTTTTTAGGAATTGAAGAAAGTGAGTTGCCAAAGCCTGTGTTGAGCCTGCTCGGCCCGAGCTTAGGTTGCGGGTGAGCTCTGTGAGCGGGAGGTGTCTGGACCAGCAACCGGTCGTAATATAGAAGGCAGCGTCACCGGAACAGCAAATACCTGCAGGGTCGAGTGTTCGCTTGTAAAGGTTTGAACAAATTGAAAAAGAAGTTTTTAGCGTTGAGCCAGCTCAGCCCTAGATTATGTGGGCGGTGTGCTTTGTAAGCCGGAGGTTATGCAACGACGCGCCGAACTTGCAGACAATTGGAGGCGCGCCGAGTCATGCACCACCGGACTTTGAACTCACTACGATCCACCTGAGACTTGAATTTAATCCGGAGTTTCCTATAGAGCCGAGATGAAAGTCGGGTAACCCATCCGACTTGGTTCTTGACTGCCCAAATCGCTGAGGACGCACTGCTGCCGTGACGTCAGCGGTTATCATCACGATCTTGGAAAGCAGCCATGTGAAGTTCTTTGAGCAGATCAGCTACTTGGGCACTATCTTACCAACCCATGGGAGCGGAAGAACTTTCTGGGCGACTCTGCCGGGGACTTGAGCCAGCTCGTAGTCTCCCACAGAACTTCATCGGGCTGAGTACATCAGCTGACCCATATGCAATCAGCTCCGGGTTTGCAACGAACCGAAGCGTATCGTATTCTGGTGTCCGAGCGTCCCCGCTTGTGAACAACAGGATTCGACAGCTTGCGTTTAAAGGAGGCTGTTGCTTCCGGAAGTCAATCATCCTTAATCGTCCAGCCAAAACGCGGATGATGACTCTTGGAGTGGAGTGTCGTACCTTGGGACCCAGTTGGGGGGTTCGACGGGGGTGGGGTTGCCGGGGGGGTGGGCGGACTGGTCCCGACGCCGAAGCCAGGTGGCGCGTAGCCATCGCCATTCTTGCACTGGGGGACCTGGTACATAAAATCTGGATTCAGATAGTAGGCTTCAAATCGAGTAGGCTCACCAGCCTCAGTGGGACGCATAGGGGTGACTTCGGGGGTTCGGGTGAGTACGCGTGCGGAGCGGGATATTCGAGGGTTAGGTTAAATCACGGGAAAAACCAGTGTTAAGCAAGCTTGGGTCACGATCGGGGTTAACTGCTTCTGCGGGAAACGTGGGTCGATACTAGTTCGGTGCCGTTTGACCAACCGTTGTCAAAGGCACGAGCTTCCCGTCGGTTTCAGTGTTAGGGTAGGAGCTCACTATGTTTTGAGCTTACTGTACCCAAAGCGAACAGACGTACCTGATAGCGGGGGCGAAGGAACCCGTCACAACCGGCCGAGTCGCAACAGAGGTAGCGCCCCTGGGGATCGTTGTTGAGGTAGCACCGGACAGGGAACGCGGCGGCGGGGCCATCAGTGCCACAAACACCTGCCAAGGTAGAATGTGAGACTTTTGCGCGTTTCCAGCATGGAGTCCGTCAAAAGAGAAAACCCGAGCTCTAGCATCGCCTCTGATCAAAGAAATGGGAGCTGTAAGTGCGCCTTGAGTGAGTGCTGTAAAGTTCGGCGGCGGGCCGGAAGAGAGCAGCGGGAAGTTGGAGTATGAGATTTTTGTGGCGTTTCTTGCAGGCGGTGCGTCGAACAGGAAATCGCGGGGTCTGCCTAAGCTCCGAATCTCTGGTAAACTCCCAGAATTGCAAAGGAAACGGGAGCTGTGAAGTGCGCCTCAAGTAGATGCTGCAAGGTTTAAAGGCGGGACGGATCGGAAGCGAAAATAGCAGCGGGAGCAATGCCGCGACAGTGCTCAGAAAAGCAACTTGCATCGCCGTCTGTATGTGAAAAGGGAATGAGTCTCGAGCGCTTTCTCCGTTCGTCGTTGTTGTGCGTGACGAGTGGTTATCAGATACAAAAGCACGCCCGAGAATGTATCTCTGGTTGCAGTAAAACGTAGGAGCGGGAGAGAAGTGGCAGCGGCCGGCAATTCCGGGTTCAAACGCTCCACCTTACATTGAGCTTTTCTTATGGTTGCTTCTAACACAACTCTTCCGTTGAAGGCATCGACTTAAAGTTTCGTGTATGTTCTGCATGAGAAGCCGCTTCCAATGATCAAGCAGGGCACAACGCACCATTGGAATTGATTCAAAGGTTTGGGTCTAGTGAGGGAACGGAAACGTTGACAAACCGTGCATAAGTATCTAGCCCAGGGTCGGGGTCAGGTTTCAATTGGACCGTCTCTTGCATGTTCGGGGAGGTGGCAAATTTGCTTTCAATAGCGTATGAACCACTACGGCATTCTAAAACAGTCATCCTTGGAGCCATAACTATTGGCGTCACCTTGAGAGCCGCTCGGTGGGCCTGACTTCTGCACTGGCGTGGGGTACTGACTATTCGGGGCCCTGCACGCATAAAATGGTTTTGCTTCAACCAGATTTAGTTATAGTGCAAGTAACCAGCTCTAATCAGCTTGGTTTACCAGAACGGCACCTAACCCAGTACAAAGCTGGCTTGGAAGAAGACATCTTCCCTCTTTCCCGCACCAGATAAGATGCCCTTGGTCGCACGGCCGCATATGGGCGACTGGCTAAAAGCTCGAGGTGCTTTATGCTGGGTAGGTACTATAGTAAACGGGACTGGTTCGATTCTGAAGCATGTGAGTCACCCTTCATCAAGCAGGACTGAGCAGCAGACCAACCGAGCAACCACGGAACACCTTAGTGGAAGTTGAGTGATTCGACTGACCGTTCCTAAAACATCTCTTGTGTAGGAACGCGACGGATGCAGATTGTTGAGCAGCTTTTCGAGGCGGATGGAATCAACGCCAATTTAGCGAGGGGAAATGTGTGCTTTCAAAGCGGGACGGCCAAGTCTCAGAAGACAAGTGCTCATTGCCAGATCCGCTTCCAACACAGAAACATTTAGAAGGCATATTCACGTTTGGTCCCAAGCACCCACCTCGTAACTTCAAAATTTCAACGAGAGGCGGGTCGGATCACTTACAAAAGGGCGCATGTCTTCCCCAGGAACCCGAGAGGGCAGTTACAAGTGAAGTCGATGACTTGGCTGGGGTTTTCCCCCTCAGGAACGGGAGGCAAACGGGTGCCAAACTGCACGTTGCATGTACCTCCGTTCTCGCAAGGGTTGGGATTGCACACGTCCCGACCTGCACGGTCATAATCAGAACACTTAACATTCTAAACCGGACGACCAGGTTAGCTTTTTCGGATCGAACCAGCTTCACCAGATGGGCCACTTTTTGTGACGAAATGCTTTATCAACCTTTGTCAGAAGGAGTTCTGGACAAAGGCCGGAGAAGATTCATGAGGATTGTGAAACATAGTTGATGCTCCCTGCTGTGAAGTGGTCTATGGTTAGCAGAGACTATCTTGTGCAGCGTAATCAACCAGACCCAGCAAAAACAATGTTGCCATTCTTACTTAAATAGACACCCATACGATGGCAAGCTGGTCAGCACCTCTTAACTGGTATTAGCTGGGGTACAAAACATGCTTTGATTCATGGCATTGTGATCAGGGTAGAGGCCGATTACCTGGGATGAAGCAACTGAAGTGGGACCCAATGCCTTTGACTCCTGAATACTCCCCTCTGACATATGGAGGATTGCACTGACAGTCGTGCTGATAGGAGTAACCAAAGATTGCGGCGCGCGGGGCCTGCGTACACACATTGCCTGCAAGTGTACGAACCCAAAATGGTTAAGCTATCAACCATGCTTGGTTTAGTGATTCCCATAGGTGCCGACATTTATGTGGTGGGAACACCCGGAAGGTACTGTAGATGATGAGATTTTCAATAAGAATATCAGAAAGAGAGGGCAAAAGGTAGATAATTTACTATAAGGCTTTGGCAATGTAGTCCTCCATGTTCTGTCTCCAAACTCTGAGCTTGAGCTTGAGGGATTGGGGTTCACAAATGTCCAGCACTGACTAGAATGTCTGACTTGCAATCCTGCTTTGCAAAAACACGCCTTTCTGCTTCTCCATTCCCAAACTCTGATCATTATGCATCTTGGAACATGGCTTTTTTCCAAAAAGAATCGATATAGGGGCAATCATTGATCCTTCCAAGTTGAAGAGAAGCCTGTTCACACATACGAAGATACCAAGATACAAAGGACAGGAAGCGAGAACGTCTGGGGCAGATCAGCCTCTTAATTGCTGGCGGAAACTGCAAACAAGCACTGGGGGTTCCCTTGATGAATTTGTACGGTCAACGGCTTCTAGCATAGCTCTAGCAGAGAACCAGACCAAACATCTAGTGACTCTGCGCTGATCGGCAGAGGAATTCTCTTTCAGATATCTTCCCTGCGACGTCAGGGAGGGTCTGTTTTTCCAGGCAATTGCGGCCATTGTCTCTTTACTAGTGCCCGCTTTCCGAGGGTGATATGTGTAATGGCAACCAGAAAGCAAAGAAAGAAACTCACCTGGACCGCAGCCAACCGCGTCGGTGTAACACTGATCCGCATCGCACTCGACGGGATAGGAATCTGAGCTGCCTCGAACAATAGGGATGAACCCTGGCGGGCAGGTGTAATCATTGGCTCGGGAGTTATCATAATCCTGGGATAACACCGAGAAGGGGGAGATGCACAGGAGGGCGAGCGCCAAAATGGCAATGCATGTGGGCGCCATTGCTGTTTAGGACGACCTGCGTGAAGGGACAAAAGCTATAAGAATTTGTCTCACGTTTCTGAAAGCCTGGTCGAGCTTTCCGTCGATGCTCTTCTCAAGGTTTATTGGCAGCACAAATAAAAATGCAGACTGTGTGGTGGCGTGTTGGTTATACGTAACGCCCTTGCAATGCTCCTGGACCTGGCTACTTTAGGGTGACTCAGCACTCCTCCTTAATCAAAATTCCCATGCCACCGTGCTGAGAGACCCAGCGCAAATCGTCCGCTCATGTAGGTATTGGTGCATACCTCGGAAGGTAGACCTGTTCCTGTAATAGCCTTTAGGTCAGAAAAAGCAGCATGCCAGCTACCTTAGTACCGGTACATCAGGAAGCCCTGCTCCAATTACCAGAAGGTGTCTGGTCGAAAGCAAAAGTCTAGCTGCAGCTGGCATACCGTTTGCCAGTTTGAGGGCAGTGCTATTTCTGCTCTCGAATTAGGAGGATCCTCAGGATGCAGTTTCCCAAGGCGCTCCTGATTTGCACTGATTAATAGCTCTGCAGATTATAATACGGTATCGCTGTGTATCATAATTTGAGCTGCAGCGCCAGCAGCGGCTGCCGTGGCATTCACCCGAGGTAGAGGTCAGTCAGGAGTCAGGACTCAGTACTACCTCTATTAGGTACTTCAAAGACTCACTAGCTGCATCATGCATCTAAGGGATGACATCACTCTGCGCCACATCATGGGCTACGACACGAGTCATTCCCAAAAGCGACGGCGCCAGTCACCGTCACTGTTGCCTCGTGGGTCCAATGTTCGCTCTCGACGGTTATTATGAGCGTCGCCGTCCATCGTGCCCCGGGGCTGGCCTCAGGACTCTGGACTTCGGAGCCCTGACCTTCGTCGAACAGTACCGGTCACGTCCGCCGGGCGGAAGATAAAACATCGTCGAACCCTGATGGACCAATTACCAGACGGTCATTGTCGTCACTGCCAGCGTGACGGTCCGGCCGCCTCCGGCGAGCAATACTAACCAGCTCCGCCATTCACAAAAGGTATGAGCACTGCACTGCACTGCACTGCACTGCTGGCGGGGATCTTTGTGATATTTCTCGATCATACCGGGATACCTACCTACTGAAGTGTAAAGCTCGATACGATCCTTCATTGACTAGAAAATCATTCAGGAATCACATCTAAAAGATAAGTTGAAACTGATAGGATAGAAATCCATGTACCTATATATTGACGCTTTCTACCGTAATATGCCTCGCTATGGGACTTCAACTGTCAACGCGCTGGATCGTTTGGGGATCCGACAACGAATTAACGATCCGGCCAACAAATGTACAAGCTACACATTTCTTTATTCAAGCTGGCACATGCCCTCTGGACCCTATACATACGTCGAATAAAACCATCTTCAGTCGCAATTCAAGGTGTCACACAATGTATTGAGGGTTATTGAGTGGCAAGATATATCTTCACGGTAGCTCTAGTAGATATCCGCCCGGCATTACGGTCGGACACTGCAGGCAGTGACGTGAGATAGCTTCCAAGTTTTCATGGACGCATAATGATGGACAACAAAGTTTTTAAGCGAACAGTGGGCAATTTCATTCAACGATTGAAGAAACAAACAAACTGAGGATCCGAGGTTGTAAGGAAGCTTGGAAATATTTGTTATTACACAGGCATGGCCGCCGGGCCGCGCCCTGCAGATACCTTTTATTGACCGCGGGCGAACGAGATTTAATTGCATGAAAGGCTGCAACTTGGGCAAACCTCTAACAGTGCACAAACTCGCCGGGACCGAGAACCTATTGGTTCGAGTGTAAATGCACAGAATACCTAACTCGTACAGGATACATTGCCTGAGACTACGTCAAGTTATGTTTGGAAGTAGCTAGAGTTCTCTGAGCCTGCTCGCTTATTTACCTAGTATTTCCGCCAGCTTTTGACGCGCACGCCGTGCGCTCGGTATACCCTCAGGCACCGGCGACATCATTCTACTTTGCCAGGTTTATTTACAGCTGCAGGTTGTCAGGGCCGCCTTTGGCAACCCCTTCTCGTATATACCCCACTCAACTTTTACCAAGCCCAAACTCGCGATACCCACTCCGTTTTCCGAGCCCGAAAAGGGCCTATTTTACATGGTCTTCATAGACCGTAAACACGCTGTCCGAGATAAGCACCGGCAGCTTATTGACGTACAACAGGAAGCGCTCGAGGTTTTCTTTTGCGACGGTGCCCATATCCACCAAATCTTCCTCGTCCGTGAAGACCCACAAGTCGCGCGAACGCACCCGCTTCAGGCTGTCGCGGCAAAAGGGGCATGACTGGGAGCGGCTGTGCCTGCGGGAAGTATTCAAACTTGGTTAGGGCAACATTTTGATACTTCTTCTCGGTTCCCGTGCCTATGAGAAGGACTCATCCGCAAGTGTCCCGTTTGCAGGCTGCCCTGGCTGTGAATCCCAATAAGCAATGAGGCCAAAAGCTCGCCGACTTCCCTAAGTTAAGAAGGCGTAACCAACGCCAGGTAACCCATCAGTTCCAGCTTCAAGTCGTTGCAAGCAGACACGCTATAAGGGGAAGCGTCAGTGGCTGCAACAACAAAGGCCTGGGGGAAACAGTTGATGTTGACTTCAGGTATGCTACATCGAGGTGATGAAGGTACACAGAAAGCGGCCGTGCATACAGGGGTTTGGAGAAAGGGGTGACGCCATTGGAGACGCATCGGAACCGAGAGCCGTGAGTGGCGTATATGGCCCCCCTCAAAAAACAGATAACGTGATCCTTCTTCGCAGCGAAAGTGGAGACTGTTAAAAGAAAGGTGTCAGCGCCCCAAGTGGATCTCAATCTACAGCGATCCCACACAAAAGCAATTGACGAGTTAAAAGGCGGCCCCACGAGCGTCACCGCGTCGTAGCCCTTCTCGGTCTACGTCCTCCGAGTACTTCTTGGCAGATCATTGCCAGACTCAAACCAGCCTTCGAACAACTAAAGGTCGTATCTTCAAGCCTTTTTAGCATGGCAGTACGCAGTGCCACAAAACAACAGTCACTGCTTGGACAGTCACAAAAAAATTTCTAGATTGATTGGTTCTTACTTAACCTTCTACCGCTAAGGAGCATCCTCAAACACACAGAGGCCTTTGTGGCGCTTCGCTTGAAGAAGGCCGTTGACAGTGTGAGCGTGCGACATTGAAAAGCGTAAAACCAAGATTCAACACCACGTGAATCCTCCAGAAACCTGGAACAAGGACGAGTTGGCTTCAAGGAGCTGATCTAGACAGGATGGTCTGAACGGAGCAAGAATCTTATGACCGAACGCCCATCACTGCCGCTCAAGCGGAAGCACTCAAGAAAAGAAACGGTTTTTAGTTCGCAAGCATCAGTCTTTGAGAGCCTCACATGTCAGACGTGTGACGCACAATCCTGAGATTGTCGCGTCACCCATCTGCACAAGGAGGAACTTTTCCGCTCTGTGCAGCAACTCGACAAAAGACTGCCGCCTTTCTCAACCTCTGACTAATCATAGGTACATTCTCTGCTCACTGGAGATTCCCCCCTTCCCTCAAGAACATTCTTGAATGCAGCATTCGTCGCCGGAATTGGCCGCAACAGCATTTGAATTGGTGTCAAGACCGTCCGCGCACTCAGAAACGCCCCGCTTCAGGCCCAAACACAACAGCTTAAGCTTGATTCCAACCGTAGTCCGAGTGCAGCGGACGCACGAGACAAACTTTCGGTTGGGCAAGTGCAGTTTCCAGGCTGAAGAGGAATCAGAACATCTGAAAGTTGAGCACAGAGCTTTCTCTTTTTAGGTTTTCCAAGAGCCTGCCGGCTTCAATCAACCGCTCGCTTTGTGGGCTGCTTGTTACTCGCAATAGCCCAACACCAGCTTTTATCATTGCCGGACCCAAACGCTGTTACAATCCGCCGTCCCAGCAGGTCAAGCGAATGGTGACCGAAATTGCAAACCAATCAAAACGTTCCGCAGCAAGCTTGGCACACTGTGCAGGGTGCCCACGAATCGTGAGCTGGAACAGATCTGCAGTCGCAAACGAAGTGACCTTTGTCCGAGCCGCGGAAGATGCAAACAATCAACGAGATAGCTCGAACTTGCGGACTCTGACCATATAAGAGGAAGCAATCTTGGAAAAACTTATGCTGTATTCAGATGCCAATTTGCCGAAAAGACTGCAGGTGAGCCTAGACCCCTGAAACGCCCATTGCCACGGTCGGCCCGTGGTGCTACCAATGTTGAATCGAGCCAGAGTTGCCACCCACCGGTAAACAAGAACGAAACGAAAGTCTTAGCTCGTACAACGAGAGATCCTTTGACTTTCAACAGAAAAAGGCAGTCGCTCCCTGAAAGAAGGGGGCCTCGAGCGGGTGGGGTCGCAAGTCAGCACGAGTCGTTGCAGTAACTCAATTAAAGCAGGTCTGACACACCGACACAACCGAAGTACCGGCAGCGCCAGAGTGACGAAACACGTCACCTTAAAATAAAGGCAACTTCTCGGCTTCCGCGAACGTGTTCGGAAAGTGGCTGACTCATCCGTCTCTGATGACTAATCCAGCCACAGCAGCGTTGCTCGTCACCGCCCAAAAGCACGATAACCCAATCTTGAATCCGGAAACCGCTGAACTCATACATTTCTGAAGCCCGGACCCTTGCAGGAGAGTAGAAGCAGAAAGACAAGCAAGGGTTGAATCTTATGGCAAAACATGGTTTAGTCACCAGGGAATCCCCGTCAGGCAAAGGCCAATTCTTGAACATCGATTGCCAAAACGGATTTCGCGCGCAACATTCGGCAAGTGAAATGGATAAAGCTTCCCACGTTTATAACTCGAGCTTTTGGGGTCTAGCAGCATGTTGAAACCTGCAAATCAATCAGCGGCGCGGTACGATACAGGTTGTCCATCGTTGCCTCGTATACAAAGGCGTTGAACACAGCGGTTTTGAATGCTCCGTAGTCCTGACTGCAAGTCGCAGAGAAGGACTCTGCTGGAAACAGTGCAGCTAAGCAGTAGACACGTGCTTCAGATAAATCGAAACAAGGACTTGAAGCACGAAAAGCAGTGGGTCAGAATGTAATCCAGAAGCTTGCACTCTATGACGGCGGAGCCCGCCAGGGGTTAACCCGCATACACAGCATAAGCAAAGCCACTCAGCCAGAGGCAATGAATCAGTCTGTGAAACGCATCCAAAAAAGTTCAGCCGAACGTGCTAGCATCAGGCTCTCTCAGTGGCCCATCCGCACTTTGATGCAACCCATCGTGTTTTCTCGCATCTTTGCCAGCCCGTTCACGCCACAAAGGTAGCACAGTGGAAGTTTGCAAGCTACGCAACTCTGAATTAAGCTCTCGTGCTAGATTGCGAGCGGAGGCTAGAGCTAGCAAGAAGCGATGGGCTCTGGGCTAAGCAGACATTGAGGGCAAAATCCGCAGACAGAGAAGGTGGATATGTCTAGAAAGATTAGATTGCAGAATCAGCAGCAGACCAAGGGCTACTACAATACTGCCCGGCCAAAACCTGTGACTCCACACAAACTCCAGTGCCATCGTGGCACCTATGAAATAGATATGCCACACGTTTTCCTTCAGGAAACGACATGGTCGCGATGAGCGAGCCACATACGTCGTGCAATTGACTTCCAATGCATTCTTGTAAACAAATGTCTACCTCAAGATGAGTAATGAGCTTGTAGGCTCATGTCGCACCGTTAACAACCACGACATGTCGTGCAGAGAATGCCCTCAACACCAGAAACCCTCAACAGGTCCAGAAGCAGGTTGAGTAATAAACAAGAAGGTGGATTTGAGGTCTGGCTTTGCAGACCCAGATGCAGTGGAAAATGGTCACAGAGGGTCCTCGCCAGTTGCAGAGTCGAAGCCCGTGGCGTAATTGCAAGCGCACTCTCACACAAGTTAAAGAAGAAACGCCACGTCATTCTTCATCGCTGCCACGTGTCGTCCAAAGGCCCCTCACCAGTCGCGGTAGCAGTCGAGGCACATGGCGTGGTTGCACCCTGGGAGCGCCACCTTGGAGCTGGGCTCGAGGCATATGCCGCACTCCTGCTCGTACTCGATGTCCGCCGCTGACATCAGCATCCCGCTCGTGCTGGCGCCGTCGGACGTGCGTGCGCTGTACTGCTCCGCACACACCGCGCGCGCGCACGCGAGCTCGTACTCGGAGAGGCCGCTGGAGAGCTGCTGGAGTGCGGGGTAGAGGAAACCTGTAAGCGGAAGAGCGGATTAGGGGCGCAATCAGGACAGGATTTGCCAAGCGAAAACGGAATCTGGAAACAAAGTGCCCGAAGTCAGACTTTGCGAGGCCACCAGAGAGCTGCTGGAGCGCGTGGTAGAGAAAGCGCGCGACGGACAGAGCGGAATAAGAACGGGATTAGCCAAGCGGAAACGGAAGTTGGAAGCGAAGGGAATAAAGGACCCTCCGAACGGCATGGCGGAATCGAAATGATCCTTGTCTAACCCCGGATCGAAATTTGGAAGTTATTAGCTGGTTCAGCAGATAGCTGGTCTCGTAATAGCGGTGAAAAAGTTCGCAATCAGAAAAGCCGCTCGACAAACACTGCTGAAAGAACTGGTTGGTTTGTCCCAGAGGCAGAGCGGAAAGTAACATCTTATCCTGCTTTGCAGACCTGATCGAGAAGAGAGAAAAGACGGGGTCGATCTCTTCGAATTAGTGCACATGACTGGTTTCGAAACAAAGCATTCGCAACGGTGACGACCTAAGATCGAAAAGCAGGAAACGACTCGAGGTTGTTGACGTTCGTGGATACGACCAAGAAAGGGAAAAAAGAAAACGACTCAACGAATCGGGAGACTTACGGTAGAACTGGTTGATGCTGGCTTTCCGTTCGTGCACTGCCATGGTTGTAGTGCCGTCCATGTAGACCTGCAAAGCAACTGGTTCAGCTCAAATTGATGGACGCCAAAGCCTTCAAACGTCGCGTGCCATTCCGATACTATTGCCTGACACGTGAGGGACAAGAATGCAAGCAAAAGGAACGATGATCTTGAAAAGAGTGGCCGCGTTTAGTGATGAAACGGTCAACAGATCGAAGGAGAGGAACCAAAATTCGAGCAACAAACCTACGGTCTACAAAAGCTGCTGTCTTGTAAGTCAGAAATGGGGCGGAGGTCGAAAAATTGAGACGTTAAAAACCAGAAGCGCATGTAGATGAAGCGAAGACAACCGGGCAAAACGGATATACAGAGGTGAGCGCAGCAAGAGGAAGCAACTAGAAGCAACACAAAATTGCTGACCTTGTATACGAAATTTCGCAGAGGAGGCCGCGCGCGCACAGAGGTAAGAGCAAAAAAGGGAAGCAACTAGAAGCGACACAAAAGTGCTGACCTTGTATATGAGGATTCGCAGGAGGCCGAGCGCGCCGGCGAAAGAGCAGTCGGTCCAGCTGAAGAGGAAGAGCAGCAGGGGGGCCGCCGCACTGTACGAGAGCCGCATCTGGAGGCACGCGCCGTCGTAGCCCTTGGGGAACTCGGCAGCGCTGCAGGGGGGGAAGAAGTCAAAATCTTAACAAAGTGAACCCAGTGCGTCTCACGGCTACCGATTCATTGATACCGACTCCTTCTTTGAAGAAAGACATAAAAGAATTGACTTAACAGACCCTGCTCCTCCACATACTTACCACATCATTCTTTTGATAGTGATGAACTCTTCGTCTTGCAAAAGCAAGGTGAAAAACATTATGTACTGAATTTGCCAGATTCAGTGGTCTTATCATCTAGTGGTTTTAGCAAATGCTGGGCTGCTACATGTAACATACATGAGAGCACTGACCCCTCAGCTGTATCCCATGCTCGGAGTTTCTGTGCTCTCTTCTCCATGAACCAGCCACTCTTATAGTGACTGCTTCTAGTCCAAGATGTCATGCTCAAATAGAGCCAAACTTAGCAAGTCATGAAGTCAGTCAGCAAAATTTACGCTTGAGCCCCCTGGCTCTAGAATCAGCAATCAGGAAAAACCTGGACTAAACAACAGCGTTTGGACGGATATGCGGGGGCGCCACGAAATTAGTAAAGCAGACATTTCTTTACAGAGCTTAGAATCGAAAGTGACTGGCCTGCTGGGGCCTCTGGTTCCAGTTGAATCATCATACCCCAACCAACATCAGATTGAGTTGCCCCTACCACAGACGCCAAGCCTTAAAGGCAGTCAAAGACCCCCTCCAATTCAACGATTGACACAAAAAGACTTCCCAGTAAGACGACCAGTCGAGACTCTACACTAGTTTGTTGGTGTGCACACATGACGCAAGACTGTGCGCAATTTCCAAGCTTGAACTATATCATTGAACTCCTTGTAAAAGCATTGCTGCAGACCCCAGCCTTTGCAGAATAGGGGCATGAGAAATAGTGTCGACGGTGGTCGCGCGAAACATTGACAAAACGTTGATGAGAGCTTGTGATATTCTGCCCCAACGTTGGCGAGCGCGAACGCTAGGGGCCGTATAAAACCTCACTTCACACCACCTTTCTATTCTTCTGTGTCAGGAGAAAAAGAATATTAATAGCTACTTCATTTCTACTTGGCATATTTTAGCAATATCCCCAATCAGAGCTTTGCGATTAAGCATGGTACGATGAGGTCTACTGGTGATGACCACAATGGTGGCAGTCAGGCTCTCCAGGCAAGCCAGCATTGTATGCTTCTAACAAGCCAAACATTGAGGGCACAAGCAGGCCAAACACCCCTCTGAAAATTGCCCGTCTTTTCCAATGTAGACACAATAGAAACAATGCTTCTGTAAGGCAGTAAGTTGCACCGGTGCAGTCATCCTAAAGCTGCCTCTGAATGACTTATATAGTTTTACGGTTTCGCTTGCACAACAGCCAGCGGTTCTCATTGCCACAAAGGTTGGGGCAGTACCCGAATTTAAAGTCATGTTGTCACGAACTTGGGAGTACAATAGGAGTGACTACCAGGAAATGCCATCAAGAAGTACAAGCTTTCGGAACAACTCAACCGCCCTCAAATAAGACCGCTTCTATTCATTCCAATTCCAAAAAGCAAGGAGAAGTAAACTTGGTAAATGTCTACTGAAGTGAGAACCCCTGTGTAAACGGCTGGAGCTCGCAAGTGTGCGGGTCGTGTTTCAGACTGAGGCAGAACAAAACATCTGTTTCAGAAATTTTACTTCTCCTACACTACTCGAAACTTTCCAACATGCGAGATAGACTCTTGGTCCAGTGCTGTAAACTCAGGCAGCTGAGCCTGTGTATATTGCCTTCGCAATGCATATGCAGGCTGATACTTCAAAGCAAGCCACCCTGATTTTTGCAGACTAGGAAGCCACTGAGAATTTGCACTCACTAGAAGCCCATCTAGAAACAGAGTAGAGGTTGTGTTCCATACAATGCAGCCCGCAAGAACCGAAACGAGTCCACTTGCAAGAGTCTGAGAAGTAGTTACGCAAAATATGTCCTAAACAATATTTTTATCAAAGGAAGTGTGCCTAGCAACTTTCGACAATTTCTGGGAAACTCTAGAACCAACAAACTTAATGACACCTGACTCAACAAAAGCTCTTGAAAGGAATTCACAAACTTACAGCGTGTTTGCGTGTTGAATGTCTGCCTCAAGTGCTTTCAGGGACTCCTTAAATGTCCTGCTGTGGCCCATGCCGAAGCAGCTTAAGAGACCCCCTGTGCCCTCAAAAATGCTCGCTTCAGGGGGGTGGTCCTGCTGCTTCTCGATGGGCTCCCAGGCACCCCCCCAGAGGCAGGACCACGCCTCCTGCCCTGCGAAGCCGTCCAGCTTGGCAGATGTTCTTCCAAACAGTAAGTTGCGGGGAAATGTGAGAATTCTACAACTGTAAGGGGTTATTTCCGCTACACTCTTGCTGCATGTGACTTGCGAAAGGGCTTACAAATCACCCTCACTCGTTAAAAGCTACAGCAAAAACATTTGGACCAGCTAGGAACCGGCCACTGCGACTCAGTGCCCCCACATAGGAATGTGTCACCGAACCTGACTCTGCACTGCAGTGTCAGAGCACCAGACAGGCGCAAAGCACCAAACAGGACACTGCGCGTCCATTGTCCTCAACAACTTTCTTTCAAGACGTTGCTGCACCATTGAGCCCTGAGAACTTCCTCCTACTCCGCCAGCTTGTGCTTTTGCCGCCCGCAGATGACACACGGGAGGTGGCAGCTTGCGCCCTTATAGGGCGCTGCGGAAGGGAAATGTTCAGGGCTTCAAAGCTCTGCTGCTCAGCAAGACGTCGGAGGTATACGGTAGTTCACCTCTTCTTCTGGAGCTTTCCAGCGTGCAGCGAACCCTAGAAAAGGCCCCCTCCACGTCAGCCTCGCGTGCATATCTTTCTTGAGCCACGTGGTAGAAGCATGGCCCTTAGGGTTAGGGTTTCGTACCTGTAATACAAGGAGTTTCTGTTGAGGGTTTGCTTCTCTGCTACTTCTTTGCTACTCTCCTGTGTGAATCCAGCTCCCTGCATTCTTTGCAAGCTCAATGCGCAAGTTACATCATATGCCCGGCCAGCAATGGCAACGGCGTCTTTCCTGCTAAAGCGTACTTTTTGGACTTTTTTTGCCGCTCAAAACCAGTGTTGGAGCTGATAGGGCCGCCAGTGTCGCTGCTTCAG